TATAAATACTATTACTAAAATTCTTCTTCTTTTCACTAATGTTATATTTCAAATTTCTAACTAAATTTGATTTATAATTTTAAACAAAACTATCTTAGCTTCACTCAGAATTTAAAAAATCAATTAAAATAAAAGGCATTTTAATTTTCAAAATAACTTTGATAATTTATCAACTATTTATTGATTCTACTAGTAAGACAAAAAACTTGAAATAAATCAGAAAACGTGGAAAAAATAACATTTTCAATATTTTCTGAATTTTCGTCAACTGAATTTTCAGTTAATGATCAGCAGCAAATCTTTTATACAAAATCTTATTCATTCTTCTGCGACTTCTCATGATTTTCATTCTAGATTAAGAGTTCAAAAAAGTATTTAAATAATAACAATAAAGTTTACAAATCGCAATTGAAATGGAAAATAAGTGCTGCTATGGCAAAACCTTTTATCTCTTTAATTTTATGGAAATGGAAAATCAAATCAATGAAATGTGAAAAATAGAAAACCGAAATGCAAATAGAAACCAGGTGAAGGGGTGGGACTTGTAGAGCGCTGAGCCTGGTGACATTTGCTAAACGCTTAATTGGCATTAAGCACGTAAGGATCAAGCAATACGAAGAGTGCCTTGTGTGCTGTATTCGCCAGTTGACGAGGGGTAAGAGCTGTTGTCAAAGCCAGCCAAGCGTTTGCAATTGTAATTAAACAGAGGTGGACCGAGGTAGAGAACGAGTGTGAGCGACAGGAGGCAGGGGTTTAAAGTGTTGGCCAGCAACAACAGTGAGTGTGTGTCCTTTCAGTCCGCTCCTTGTTCTAAGCTGCTGCGTATTTATTTAGGCGTTCTACGTGCCGTCAGGCAAAGCCTTTAATGCTCTGCTCAAACAAAGATGCGATTTTGAGGCGCTTACGCACGCTGCCAACCAGACAGTCAGAGCGCTGATGGAGGATAAAGGACCTGGGCAGGAGATCTGGCCACAGTTGGTAGAACGCACCCCTGTCACGTTGCAAGTCATCAGCAACTGTTGCTGTTGTTGTTGTTGTTGTTGTTGTTCTTGGTATTACAGCAATTATAATAATTGCGCGCACAAATCGACAGTTACATGATGGAAGCTTTTGCTCGTCCTTGGTCGTTGGCAACTGCACAGCGACAGTAACAGGAAATTGCATAAAACTAATTCAGTTCTTGTGCTCTTGCTTCCTGTCCTGTCCTGTCCTGTCCTGTCCTGCCGCCAACAGCAGCAGCAGCAACCGTAGAGCAGCAGCAGCAGCAGATTTGCATAACTTTTTCAATTTCACAACTCAAGCTGTGGCCGAGGCCGTGGCATATGTGCCAGCAGCCATAGACACGCCCACACGCCGGCACACACAGCCAACAGCCGCCCATCTTCAGTTACAGCCGCGTCATCTCTATAGCCATTGCGCCATTGCCATCGGCATCGGCATCGTCATCGTGGTCGATGTGAATGTCGCTGACATCGTTGCCAGGCTGCTTCTTATTTACGTCAATTGCTTGCGCACTCTGCACAAGTCCTGCCAAGCTCATCCTTGGGGAGAGGCAGAGTTGGCTGGCAATGACGGCAGCGCTGGCGTCTCAACTGCTGCCTGCCGCGTGGCCGTCTCTAGTGTCAATTCGCTGCGTGGCAAATGTTGCTACGCCGGAAAAAATCACGGGCCACTTGGTGGGCTGCTGCCATGTATGAAAGGCAAACTGTAGTAGTTAGTTTATTTATATTTTCTTCTATCTCGTCTTACCTGCTGGATGCAGATATCAGTTGCTGGCCATCCGGGCGACTTTGTCACGTAATTGAACTGACAATAACATACTTGAGTCTACGTGTAGCCTAAGCACGACTTTTAATGTCATTTCGCAACATCCTCAACTTTGAGGCTAAACTTTCAACTGCAAACCAAATGAATAAGCAACTTGAATGACTTTCATCCTGCCTGTGCAACTCTGAAATATAAATGGGAGGGGTGCTCAGCATATAATCAAAGTTTCAATACTTAACCAGGCCTACAGATGCACAGATGCATACGCAGTAAGCCAATATAATCTATTCACTTTGTGAACGAGCCTAAAAGCAATATTGATACAACAAACTCTAAACACTGTCTTGCAATCTAACTTAAATTAATTATAATTTTAATAATAAGTGAGGTTCAGTTAAACTGTTTCGTAACTGTTTTCTTTGATGCACCTGGTTCTTATTGAATTTTGTTGATAGCTCGATTAGCTTGAGTTTGCTCAAACTTTTTAGTAAGCCCAAAAGTCAAGCTAACTTTAAGTTCAGCTAAAACGAGTTTACATAAGAAAAGTTTCTATAATGGATCACCTTAAGGAAAGACGTAGCAAAGTTCGCAATTCAGAACAAGGCGAAGAAAACGTTTTGGTCTCCATTAAAAAAATATAGTAATAGACCAAAGTATACAAGTAATGCCCGCATTTGGAGATATGGAATAGAAGTCTACGGAACAGCGCAAAGTTTCCTAAATTTCCTTAGCAAAATGCATGCCACATATGCCATTTCCCTTGCTCAACACTGACAAGATTGCTGGGTATATTCTCTTGAGTCCTTTGCCTGTTCAAAGTCTTTAAACTTAACCTTAGTCGTACAGCAATATATTACCAGAAACTGTACTGCCAAGCTAACAGAACAACACGCTAAGGACTCAAGAGTGTATACCCAGCACTCGTATACCCACTACGCTTCCATTAATTTTTGTCTCAATATCGAAATAAGTCTCTCACTTTGGCTAAAAGCCTCGTCTACACAAATCTACGAACAAGTCTAGTTTTACATCTTGTCATTTCATACTTCACTCATGTCGCCACATAGCAACAACAAGGAAAGCAAATTATAAATAAAGCTTAAATTTATTTAAAAAAGGAGGAAAATGAAGACTTAAAAGGGATTAAGCAACTCATCTCTTCATACTGATCAGATACACACATATATATATATATATATATATATATATATATCATTTCGATCAGCTCAATATGTCAGCTCCCAACTTCTGCCTCTCCTAAATCCTCACACTTAATCTTAATCTAATAATTTACGAGACAATCAAATTTTAATAAATTCATATTAAGCACGCACTGGCAACTTCTTAATCAGTTTTCCAAGAGATGTGCTAAGACAAGATGGAAATTAATATTCATAGCTCATTAGATATGCACATGCATATCTCACATTTTCCATATACCAAATGTGACGTTAAGCGATGTTTTGTTTGTCTTTAGTTTCAGCTGTCACTGTTACCATCATTGTCACTGTCTCTGTCACTGTCACTGTCACTGTTCGAACATCTAGGCGAAGCATATCCAATCCACTTTGTCGCCTGAAAGAATGGGCCGTGAGCTCTCTAAATGCTCTTCCTGTCCCTCGACCTTCACTATAAATCGCCTCTGTGTGTGTGTGTGTGTTCGTGTGTGTCATAAAAATAAAAATCTCGCTTCATTTCATTTTCATGGTTTTTGTTACTCCAATTACCAATGCGATTTTGAGTCGTTTACTTTAGCTCTGTCCCTTTCAGCGTCTGCTTGTCTCTTTCTCCCTCGCTCTCTCTGTTTCTGTCATCAGCTTAGCCCACATAACGGGCCACGTTATGTGATATATTGCCTGAATTATGGCTTGGCGAACATTTTGCACCTAAGCTGCGGCGCTGCTTTGTTGTTATTATCCTTCGAAAGGCTCGACCCACCCCCAGCGTCCTGTCGCGACCTGTTACCAAGATTAACGCGACACGAGAGTGGGCTGTGTGGGCGCAAAAAGGACGAGCTGCAAAATCAGTCATAATATTTCAAATTTCATAAATTGATGCGTATCGCATTAGACGGCGACAACAACAACAACAGCAAGGATGGCAGCTAACGGTAACGACGTTGTAGCTGGTGTCCTTGTTGCTGCTGCTGCTGCTACTGCTCAGTGAGCAACCCTCGGGAACTGGCTTTGATAAACGCGCCCAGGGGCCCATTGAATTATGTTTTCTTTTGGGTGCGGGAGGTGTGGTGGCTGCCACGCCTACATTTCAACGCGCCGCAACAAATAATATATATATATAATATGATATATGTATGCATGTCATACTGACATACATACAAATATATATATATATAAATATATATATATATATATATATATATATATATATATATATATATATATATATATATACGAGAATTGATTTTCTCGCCCGCAGCTAAGACGCCGTCGTCGGCAGCATTCGTGTCCTTCAATCGCACCTGCGCTTGGCCCTTCGACTTCAATTGCTCCCCAGACATGTCGGGGCCGGGGGCGTGGCGTGGCTGTCCCATTTCATGGGCTTCATTTATTGCTTCTCAGCCATAAAACAATAAAAAATTGTTCGTTTTTGTATTGAAGTTCGATTGCTTGCGCAGCATCTCTGGCAGGAAATGCGTTTCTAATTAAATTTTATATCTTGTTCAATAAAGTTTTCAAGATTAAATCGAGTGAAAATCCCTTCAAAGCTATTAAATAACGTTGAACCAGTTGTTATGGTATATCCGTTGTAAAAATAATGTAAAGTCGCAAATTCGCTAAAATAATAATTAAAAATAATAAAATGATTTTCAGTTTTTCTTAGAGATATTAGACATTCAAAATAATAAAATGTAGCTTTTACTTATTAAATATAGTTTATTTACATTAGGATAGTGAATTTTATCCAAAATAAAAATCTTTGAATTTGATCTCTTTGGCGCTACTATGTGCTATCGATAAGACCTTACAACGATAGGTATGTATGGCATAATGAGCGCTAGATGGCGTTTAATGGTGACACAAAATAATTTTGTGCGCCATCTATGTCTCAAAACTCGACAAATAATTGAATAAATTTCATAGCAAGCAGCATTGCCTGCTTATCCTAACATACAAAATTTGCTAACAGGTTAAGCTCTTAACACTTTACCCGCCGAGCTGACTGTTAAATAACTCATAATATATTTTCAGTGAGCAGAGCTAACAACCTAACATTTCCTCTTGAGCCGAAAGCTAGCATAATGTTAGAACAGCTGATTTTCAACCACTTGAATCACTTTTAGTCATTGTCCGAATTAAGTTTGTTTGGGTTTATTAAAATTAAAATTTGAAGTCAGATATTATAAATATTAGCCAATATGCATGGTCGAGTCAAAGTGCGTACCACGGAGGAGGAGCGGGAGCGCAAAAAGAAAGAGCAGGTGCTCAAGATGCGCGCCTATCGAGCTGCCATGACTCGCATTCAGAAGAAACGCAGCCTGAGCGAACTCGATGACGAAATGCTTGGTCTAACTGTCCAAATACTGCTGCGTAATCCAGACATAAACACTCTGTGGAATATTCGACGTGAATGCGTGCTAAGGAAGATAGCAGAATTGGAAAAGACTATTAAGGAAAATGAAACAAGAGACATACAGAAGGTGGAGGAGCACAGCGAGGGCGACAAGAAGACAGACGATGAGAAGGAAGTTGATAAGAAGGAGGTCTTGGCTCAACAGCTTCAGTCGATCTATAAAACGGAACTAGAGCTAACCGAACAGTGCCTGATGGTCAATCCGAAGTCTTACAATAGCTGGCATCACCGCTGCTGGACCTTGGAACAGAATCCTGAAGCCGATTGGCAACGGGAGGTGCAGCTGTGCAACAAGTACTTGAAATACGATGAGCGTAATTTTCACACCTGGGACTACAGACGCTATGTAAGCGAGAAGGCGTCGGTGCCTCCTGAGCAAGAGCTGGACTTTTGCACGGATAAGATCAAAGTGAATTTCTCCAACTACTCCAGCTGGCATCATCGCAGTCTGCTGCTGCCCACGCTGTATCCCAACGAGCAGCAGGATCGACCCATGAGCGAGCATAAGCTAAAAGAGGAGCTGGAAATGGTGCTAACTGCGGCCTTTACCGATCCCAACGATAGCAGTGCCTGGTTCTATCAGCGCTGGCTCCTGGGCAGCGGAAGGCAAAGCGAGCAGTCAGCCACAGTGGCTGCCTTTCGCTGTTGGCCCTATAAGGCGCAGCTATCGCTAAAGAGCTCCTATCCAGAGCTGTCACAGCTTACGGTGCAGCTGGTCAGCGAACAGCAAACGCTGCAGCTCCAGCCATGGAAAGCCGTCAACAGCGAAAAGACCCAATGGCAATGCGAGCAAGTTATAGAAATCGAGCCAAGTCGAGATTATTTCTTGGATGTGGCTGGCCAACGCAAACAGCTCGCCGTGAACCCTAACGATCAGAGCCTTTACTATTTTGTGCCGCCACACGCGACCTCCAGTTGCAGCAAGGAGCTGCTCGCTGAGCTGCAAACCCAGCTACAATCTTGTCTGGATCTGCTCGAATACGAGCCGGACAGCAAGTGGACCTTGCTAACTAGTGCGCTACTTATGCGCGCCATCGACGTGAACAGCTATCATGAGCAGAGCCTGTCGCATTTGGCCAAACTGGTGCAGGTGGATGCACTGCGTCAGGGCTACTACAAGGACTTATCTGCACGCTGGACCATGGAAATGGCCTTGGCCAAATGGCCCACCTCGTCCAATTATCCTCAACTATTCGAGATGCCCACCGAAATGTCAATGACTCCCTACGCTCACTATCTGATTGTAGCAGACAAAATATCGAGTTGAATTGAGGTCAGACTTAAATAATTAAATTCTCTTAAATTTTCCTGAATTTTCTTTAATTTTGAAATCTGTCTAGCAGTTCGTCTGGATGATGATGTCTACTTTTATCCACACAATATTCCAGTTTAGTGAAAGGATTCTTTATACACACGTTTTGTATATACTTTTTATATAATCAACGCCTCAACGCTAAACACATATTTAAATAAACTTTTTATACGCTTAAGCAAATGAATCAATTAAGTGTGTCATGGATATTTGTGGACGGAGCACAGAAAACTATTTCAGCACGAGCAGCATAAAATTAAATTCATTTCCAGAATGAAAAACAGTTTAATCATAGAGATATATTTGCATGATATTCCTAGAATATGATATTGAAGCACTTGAAACTTTAGCCTTAATGCAATTCATCGTGACTTGCATGAGCATCCGCTTTTCACCTGGCCAAGTTTTCCGGCAGCAGATGCAGCCAGCGCTACCAAACGAACTCTGCTCGCTGCCTCGGTCTCTGGCTCTGCTCTTGCTTCGGCAAGATTTGCGTTTGGTGTTTTTTTGGTGGCTTCTGTTGCATAAATTATTATACAAGCGTTGCCCGTGAATGGCTTCACATGTCCGCCACATTGGCAGCCGCATGTCATTACGTGCCACATGAACTGACAGCAACATGTGGCAAGGAGAGTGAGTGAAAGGTGTGTGTGTGTGGGGGGATTGCGTGAATATGTGACATTGTGAGATGCCTTGGCATCAAGGTGTTAATGCAGCCACAAGACGCTCTTCTGCTGTCACCTGACTGTGGAAATTCCAAGCTAACCTCAAATACAACTGCTGCTGCTCTTCCCGATGCATCTGCTGCTGCTACCCCTTCTGCTGCTGCTGTTGTTATTGATACTGCAGCCATTGCTGGTGCTGTTGCTTCTCCTGCTACTGCTCCTGCTTCGCTTCTGCTATTTGCTCTGCTCCGTCTTCGCATGCTGCATATGGAAATAAACGAGCAGCTGCTTTAATGCACATCGTGCACACACGCGTCGTTCATATCATATTCGTATCATGAACAACGTCTTGGCATTTAAATTTCCGCAGCAATCCAAGCGCATCTCCCTATGCATCCAAGGCCTCTACGACTGCATAATATGCTCGCTGGCTGCTCCGACTTAATGCTAATTATGCCATATCTTGTAAATATTTTGACTTGCTGGTGCAGTGAAACGTGACGTTGGCTCATTGGCGCTCATTAAATTATTTGATGCCAATTATTTGTGCAGCGGGCGTGGCAGTGCAGCAGCAAAAAGCCTACGCAATGAGACATCACCAACTTAATTAACGACACATTTCATGTGGGCAGAGCACAGAACACACAGGAAATACAGGATGAGCAGCTGATGTAATCTTGGCCACACAAATTGCATTTTGGTAGCTCGTGCAGCCAGCAATATTGATTAACTGACTGACAGCATCCGAGAGATTGATCCGGACTGGCTATTAGATGATTCGACATTAATACATAGAGACCTTTACTTACTCCCGTTCTCTAAGGTAAACGGGATGAGTACATATCCCTCTTGATTTCTATATACCCTTTCTTTTTGGCTCATACAATTTTAATTATGATATCACAAATTGAAATTTATTTCAAAAGGCATCCAAATTTATTTATAAGTCAAAGCATTAAGTCTTAATGAGAAAACTTTTAAAAACTCCTCAACTCTCGCTGTTTGAGTGCTCTGCGGATTATCACTTGCTCAAAGCCTTACTTTTTTATTGTCTATAAGTTGGATATGCTTAGATATATTTGCACTATATAATCATGCCCTACTTTGCATACATTATAAACAAAGTTTGAGATATGCTATACGAACAGATTCATAATATTTCCTTTACTCGCTGATTATATCTCAGGGGAAGTACAAATCGCGAATGGCTAAGTAGCGGATGCGCGTCCAGCTCCTATAGTTCCTGATTTTGACTGAATTTTTGTGAGATTCTATCGCTTGCAATTGATTTTATCTCTATTAATTAAACTGCCGGAACAGTTGAGCTGGCAGAACGGCAATTTCTGTTACTTTTATGACCTTAACCAATCGGAGCACACATCGCAGGGATGTTGCTTCTTGGGATGTTGCTGTTGCTGTTGTTGCCAAAACTTTAATTGCCTTTCGGCCAAAAACTTTGCGAAACTCGGCGCAGTGCATTTTGTTAACATTTCCTGTGAGTTTTTCGGCAACGCTGCATTCCCTACGCAACTTCAACTAGCCACGCCCCTTTGACAGACTTCCCGCGCACCACATGCTGCCGAGCCCGGTCGACAACAGCTCTGCAGTTTCCAGTTGGCAAAGACTTGAACTCTGCTGTTGTCGTCCCCTTGTTTTGTATGCCCTTTTAATTGCCCATTGAAAGTTGTTCACTTGTTAAAATGAACTTTTGCCTTTGGCACCAATACAGCTGGCCCCGCCGCGTCCCCCTCGCAAAGCAAGTGACAAAGTTGCAAGCAAAGTGTAAGCAACAAGCAGCGTGAAAGTATGTGTTATGCAATTAAAAAGTACGACCCAAAGACGCTTTAATCGAATCGGAGTCTATTGAATTTTCTCAAATAGAAACAACAGCAAACAAAATTTCACAAAGCGTTTACCTCAAGGCAGGTGCTAAGATAACGGTTGCTGAGCAAACAGCCTACCACATGGCAATAATAATAGATGAAAATTAAAATTCCAGCAAGCTGCCTGAGGAAGGACCAAATTATATCTTATATTTCTGTCCATTTATAGCTGCACTCAAGTGTTTGTCTCAATTAACGTTAGTAAAACGAAATTTTAAGGCTAAGCCCTCCTTAAGTCAATGGCATCTGTGTTTCTGTTTGTCATAGTCACGGGGCATAAGACCTGAATAAAGGTCTGTTTATCTTGATCTCATTTGTTATATAGGGTATAAAACAAGTAACAAAACACGCGTGTGCCAACTTATCCGACTAACACAATTATATTACTTTTATTTTAAATATAATCTTATGCATAACATTACACACATACACATGTGTATCTCATATAGAACAGGATGTAGATTTAAGTTCACCTGTTTTACAGGGCACACAACTTGCATACTAAGGTCTGCTTATCTAGGTTTTATTTATTATACAGGGTATACAACGAGTTAAGCAGTTACGAACGCCTGTCTGCTTATCTAAAATTTCATCTTTTGTTTGTCGAGTTGCATTTTAGTTTCATATTGTTTTTGTTACTATTTTTTATGATTTTCATCTGTCTGCTGTTGACTTAAGCACATTTTAAGCTCAACAATAGGAGCAGACAGCTAAACACTTTATTTCTCTGATTTTTCACATGCATTTTCATGTCTGAAAAGTGTCTAGCGTTGCGGTCTATTGTGAGTCTGTCCGAAGTGTGAGTGGGTGTGTGAGGGCGGCATGGCCCGAGGGCGTTTAGACATGAATTATATTCCAGGAACTAAAAGCCATATATAACGAACATAGCTGTGAGTTATGAGGGCAAAGTGTCAAATACGACAGATATACTGAGAAAAATGTTGCAACAAATCGGAATGAATAAAACTAAGAGTAAGAAGTACGTATAAATATGAGAGCTGTAAATAATATTATTTTTATGACTATTGCTTTTGCCTCTGTATCTAAAACTCTCTCTGTCTCTGTGTATATCTCTATTTATTATGCCTTTATTCCTACAACTCCCCCTCAATTTCTGTATTATTCTAAATTCTATCTCCATCTTTCGTTTTTCTCAATCTCTGTCTCTCTCTCTCTCTCTATCTCTTTATTTCTTTCTCCGACTCTCTCTCTCCCTGTCTCTCTCGCTGTTCCTCTTTCTTTTTCCGTATCTCTGTCACTATCTCTTTGTCTCTCAGGCGCCCTCTCTACCTTTCTCAGTGCCTCTCTCAGTCTCTCTCTCTCTCTTCTCTCTTCTCTCTTAACATTACGTAACATGGCTCCGCTAAATTGACTGATTTCATAAATGATAGGCTCCATTCAATATAGGCGCATATAACAATGCCATAATAGTTAAGTGGGAGCAACAATGGCGCCGCTGCACAGCCTTCGACATATACAGTTACAGCATACAGTTACACATACACCCGCCCACACCCGCCAACACACACGCACACGCACTCTAAATGCATATTTATGCACTATAAACATTAATTTGCTTGCCATTTAGCTAGATGCGCAGTTAATTGAAAACAACAACTACAAAATGAGCATCTACATAATGTGCCCAGTGCCCCACCCAGTGTCCATTCTGCCTCCTTGCCGTTGCTCTGTGCCGTGGCAACCAAAAGCAAACAACTTAAATTATGCAAGCAGTGGAAAATGTAACAAAAATTGCAACGAGCGTTGAATGTGCGTTGTTTGCATTGCGCTGGGCAGTGGACAACCGGAAAGTGGGCGTGGCAGTTGATGGTTTAAGCGTTTGTAATGTCAAATTTAATTGCAATTAATGCTTAGCTAAGCGGAAGTAGCACAGCATCCACTGCAGCAGCAGCAAGCAGCATGCTGCTGACACTTCCGGCAAGCATAGAACAACAATTTTGATGCCACATGTAGCGGCAGCAGCAGTGAAAATTCATAAGAGTTTGGACAACGCGTGCCACCTGCAGCCGTGCAACTGCGACAGCGACAGCAACAGCAACAGCAACAGCAACAGCAACAGCAGCAGCAACGCCAGCAGCCGTTACTTTAAACGGGCGTTATGACGGTTCTCCATTGCAGCCAGAATTCAATTACTTGTGCTCCATAAACCGATTAACTTATATAAATATTTATATCGCTGCAACGCACTCCCACACACACACACACACAGACTAGGGCAAGGGCGAGCCAGCTCGATCGTGTGCCTTTGCATATGCAAACACATTTACTGCAGCGCCCATCCCTTGACTGCATAGCAATAATTCCATTCAGCATTTGCATTTGTTGGCGTTTATGGTCCACTTAAGTGTTGTCATTCGCATCCATGTATGGCCAAGGATTTAATGATAACACGCTAGGTGTCATTTACAGGCGACACGACTGCGCCACTGTGTGTGCGAGTGTGTGCGAGTGTGTGCGAGTGTGTGCGAGTGTGTGGGTGGGTGGGTGTCCAAGGCCCGGTGCAAAGCTGATCGGGAATGGCTGCTTGGACTACAAATAGTGCTCTGCTCAACCGACAGAAGAGTGCAGGAGGAGCAGGGTCCATCTCCCATGTGTGTGTGTGTGCATAAGGTGTTTTGCAATTGTGATGTCTCCTTACCGTTTAGTCTGTGTGTTTGTCTTTGGCGGCGTTTATGGGCGACAACACTTGTCAGCAGAATGGGGTTAATCTCATGGTCAACAGAGTGGGCCAACTTGCGGCTAGACTTTGGTCTGATTTATTGGCCAACGTGGCGCTAAGCTAGATGTCACAAATGTCAGTTGATGTGGATTTTGTTAATGGCTGCAAAAGTTGAGAGTGTTTGATGTGTTATCTATGCTGCATATACACGAAGCTGTGACTGATTGCCTGACTGAGTGATTGTTGCACTGATTACCGAAAGAGAAGAACAAAAGATGCGCTAAAATAAAGCGCTAGGCAAGTTATACCTAAAAATAGGAGAGTTCTTAACTTAAGAGCAAAGGTATTGCTCACAGAGTTATCTTCAGAAATGCAGGTGAGCAGGTGAAATCTTTGTGGACATTAATTTACAAATTAATAAATGTTTCAGTGTTTAAAGACTAGGTGAAAAAGTGGAATCGGCGTTTCTTAAAGCTGCACAAATTAAACAAAATGAATGCAAATTTATATTTATTTCTTAGATTTAATCATTTTCTTTAACCAATGCAAAATCCTTTTAGAATATTACCTTCAAAAATAAGGAAAACAAATAAACATTTGACAGCCAGGTTAATTTTTACATTTCAAGCAAACCCTTCAGTCGCATGGACCATATCGAAAACTGACATGCAATTGAAGTCATCAAGCCCAGGCTAATTTCAAAGTTTAAATTTGAACTTGCGATAATTTGAAAAGTTGATTGACTGACGCACATGCTTTGCAGGTTGGCCACGCCTTCTCTTCTTACAGACCCCAGCGTCGATTGTGCTTGAGTTGCAGCTGTCGCAGCTGGCTCTCCAGGGCAGCACGCGTCTCGTAGAGGCTTTTCTGGTGCAGCAGGCGTCGCCTGAACGCGTCGTGTTGCAGCTGAGTTAACTGAGCACGCAGCAAGAGATGATTGGACTGCAGCTGTCGCAACTGGACGACCACATCAACATCGTTCTGGCAGAGGTCCACGGCCGTCGAGTGGGCTTTCATTGGGCGTTAGCTGCTGTCGAAGACACGAGTGGCTTAACATAATTGATGTGGTTGTGGTTGTGGATGTGGATGCGGATGCGGATGCGAATATGGTTATATGCTTGTGGCAGCCGTTGCGGCTTCAATGCTGGCCAAAGTTAAGCCTAATCACTCTGCAAAAGTTTTTATCTGCAAAATTACGTATACGCAATGAGTGCCGCCCGACGTTTGGCAGCCAGAATGTTGAATGTTTTTGCTCTCCCGTTCGCTTTTTCTAGCTGATTGACTTAAAAATTGAAAATTTGCCAGCATTTGGCCAAGTTTTTAGCTGGTGATGGTGCTGCTGCTACTGCTAATGCTGCCTAATGTCTTGGCCGGTTTGCTGAGCAATATTCACTGATGCGTTCGTTAAATTTGCGTAGCCCACCCGCCACCCATTCACATCCTCAAGGTGGCGCAGACAAAATTGCTTTTGTGCTTCAAGCTTCAGTCAAGCATAAAAATGTCTGCTCGACAACTTGCGCGCCATGTCTCTAGCTCTATCTCTATCCCTATCATTCTTCCCATTCCTATCTGTAATACAGTCCCTCCACTGCTGTTGCCGCTGCTCGATTTCCAACTATCGATTGATTCTGTATTAATTTTCCGATCCCCCCACACATATGCATATGCTCAATGCTGCTAGCTACGACTCTAGCGCCTTCGCTTCGTGTGCATACCATGCAACCCCGAGCCGAGCTGAGCTGAGCTAACATTACAATTATACAAGGCATCAAAAATGATTGATTTTGATTGATTAAACTCGTTAGGGGATGGCTTTGTCATATAGCATTGGCCAATAACTTTTACTTTTAAATGTTTTCCATTTACTTCATCGTTAAGGTCTACACATTAACCAAAAAGCGACTAAGCAAACGAAATAACACTGCGGTGCTCTACTTTGTTGCTCTGCCCAAAAACCACAATGTTAAAAACTGTGGCATAGTCAGCCCACCCAACGCAACCCGAAACCGAAGCAGCAACATGTTCTGCCTGTGGGCGCCATAGTTGCGTATACGTAATATTCAAGGCACAGGCGCATGTAAATGCGTTGCAAGCTCTTCGCTTGCTGTGGCTTGAATATGCCCAACCGTTCGACATGTACTGCAGCTGCTCGACTGCTCATAAGAGGTGCATAGTGCCAGAGAGACGAGCGGCGGAAGCCTTTAAGCTTGCCTCATTCCAGCTAGTTGAGCTAGGCGTTCATTAGCTGCCGCTTAAACTGTTTTCATGTTGCATTCAATTTATGAACACTTGTTCACACACACACATACAGTTCAGCATTTAAACAGCTTGATGAGTCTTGTTGTAAATTATAATTATAATAGGCTTGTATCAAGTGTGTCGGCAAAAGTAAATAAAATGGAGCACGTCAACTGCATCAACGGCATGCAATCAGCGTTAACAAACTAATTAGAACGATGATGATTGCACGTCAAGCTTAATGGCAACTGAAAGCGACAGATTTCAGTGTACACACGCATGGATCATGCAACTGTCATGGGGTGTATATATATATTAATGACTTCAATATGCAAATGTGCATTGGATGCAGCTCACCTTTTGGCTTGAATGCAATCGTAAAATATGCACTGAATTTGAGGCAATGCGACTTTAAAATGTACATCGGCTATGTGTGAACTACGATGCTGACTCCGAATCCTGATGCTGTCTAATTGAAAATCTATGCCACTAAACTATAAGCCTGCTCTGTTTGGCTGTCTGACTGTCTGGCTGTCTGGCTGTCTGACTGTTGGATTGTTTGTCTGTCTCTCTCTCGCTCCGACTCAGTCGCCGCGCTGCCAACTTAATTATTTCAGCGGCACGTCGCCGTCGAATGGCGCTTAAGCCAAGACTTACGACAGCTGCAAGAAGAGTAAATAAAGAGTTTAAAAAAATGAAAAGGAAAAAGAGCACAGCAGAAAGTGCAAAGCAGTGGCAAGTGGAATAAACAAAAGTTTGCTGCATGCAACGGCAACGGCAACGGCAACGACAACGACAGCGACAGCGGCAGCTGCTGCTATTGAAAATCTGTGCTGAAAGATAAAGTTGCCAGGCAAACGGATTTAACTGCAACGGCACCAGCGGCAGAGGCGCAGGCGGAGGCAGTGCCAGTGCCAGTGGCTGTGGGAGTGGGACGTTCTTGGGGTCAGATGAGTTACAATAAGGGCATAGCCAGCTGATGGAGTGTGTGGGAGAGGGTCTGTGTGTGTATGTGTGTGTGACCCCATTAAAGCAGGCACGCCCACGCATCCTGCTGTAACTAACGCTCTCTATCTACCCTTCTCTCTCTCTCCTTCTATCTTCATGCTTTACTGTGATTCCAGCTGCACAATTTTCACGGACATCATTCATTACCAAAATTTAGTTTGAATAACTTAGAGCAATGATTTTCAGTTCAAATATAGATCGACAATATGATAACAGCTGGCAACAGGTGAAGAGCGGGCATCTTTCAGCGGGCGTTTTGCAGCTGAATACGTTTTGCGGAACACAAGGGCTCTTTTAGTCGAGTCTCTTTTAAAATGACTTTGGCAACTTTGGCAGGCCAAAAGTAATTAATTTTGGCTAAGTAAGGTTCAACAAATAAAAAAAATAAAAATAAAATTATATATCATAAGAAAGTGGAAAATAAAACACACAAACGGCACAATTAACGCCTGCAACATTAATTGCGTTTTAATGTGCTGCTTGGAAGGCGCAACTCACATTTGTAGTTGAGTGTTAGCTCGTGCAGGGATTGGACGATGTTGTGTGTGTGGTGTGGTCTGGTGTCGAGTGTGCGAGTTGGCTACAACGTGACATGTCAACCGCAGGCGGCGGCTCAAAAGCGTAACAAGAATTTTGCCGCGCCTGAGCAACATGACAAGCGGCGCACACACACAGGAGATTCAAACGCTCAGACACACATGCAGGTAAGAGCCTGTCTGAGTGCTTGAGTGCCAGCCTCAAAAGCAGCTTAACAAACACACACACAGACACTGTGCACACAACACACACACACACACACGTTCACAATGAGGGCGAGCAGCACGAGGAACGACCACAGGACGAGGCCAACTATTTACATGTCGCCCTATTATGTCCGGATGCGGACACGACGAACCCACAATCCAAGCGAGCCACTCCCCGCACCTGGTGCCGTAACCAGGATGGACCTGGCACACAAAACCCCATTGCCGTGTGTCTTTTGTGCTGCGTCTCTCTAAGTGACGTGATTTAAATTTTTATGTCCTTTGAAATTTTCAACGTTCTGCTCATCTCAGTTGCTAACTGCTGCCTGCTGGCTGCTGGCTGCTGGCTGCTGGTTGCTGGCTGTTGACTGCTTCCGGCGCACAAATCACGTAATCTACCCTTTGTGGGTCAAGCAGCGCAGCCACATATCTATAAACTCGAAAAGCTCAAGAGCATAAACAGTAACTGCTAAGCATCTGCACAGCTGCAGCAGCTGCACCTGGACGAGCATAGCTAGATACATGTATTACATGCCACTCCCAACTTATCCGAACAACCATCAAGAGACAACATAACATGCAACTCGCCAGCAGCGGTGCAAAAGTCAAAGTCAGGCAAATGTCAAGTGTTTGTCCTCGAAACTTGACAATGGCAAGAATGGTAGGATTATGATGTTACCATGCTTGACTGACTGACTGATTGAATGACTGACTGCTTGAATGACTGACGCATTGCACTTTCCAAGCAGTGACTTAACAGGAAGCAATAGTCAAAGGATGACTGCTGACTGATTGACTGACTAATTGATGGACCTACAGTAAAGACCAACAGAGTGTCCTCTTTGTAACTTAACCATAGTGAGACTGATGGACCTGACTGAAGTGAAGATGTTTTTGATGAACAAATTGATTGATTGACAGAGCTATTGGCTGAGGCTGGAATTTTATCTGATCTATGTCCTGTCTAGATTTCGATAAAAAGATAACTATATTTCAGCTAGTCAGTGTTCCCTGATAATCAACTCGCCATAGTTACTCAGTGTGCAGTGGGTTTTAATGCTAAACTGATTGATTAGTTGATTGATTGATAAGCTTGGTATCTGAGTAGAAAGAGAGAATAGAGTTTTGAAAGTTTGTCAAATTTAATACGTCAATATATTTCAACCTCTTGACCCGCTTCTTTTCATTGTCTGTCATTTTTGATAAAGTATAAAACTGTGTGAAGCGTCAGAAACTTCCTACCGGAAAATTCCTCTTCATTTGTGGAAATTCGTTTGCTTAAAAGTTGTATTCACAATTTGGGGAAACTCACTTGACTGGACTGAAATATGAGACAAGCTGCGTCATGATAAATTTAATTAAGTCAATTTCCTTATGTATCAATAAATTGGTTTTATTTGTGGGCATTTTTCATTTCATCAGCATTCATCTGGCTCATCAACAGCCGTCGCAACGAACGAGTCAAGATTTTTTAATTGCTTAATTTTCTTTTAATTTAAATGCGTTTGCTTTTTGCTGACCCAAAAAGAGAAAACTGGAAACGACGGCAGAGAATGTGAAACAGAAGCAGAACTGGAGAATATTATGTTTCATTTGGGAAAAACTGATAGCAAAGGCTCTCTTCTTGCAGCTTACAGTAATGAGGATGCCATTCATAAGCCCATAAATAAGTGCAAGGGAATGTGGCAAAAACGTGGCAGCAAGGCAAAGCGAAGGGGAAAGGGTCTTATCGCTGGCAAGTGGACATCATTAACCTGGCGGCAACCACTGTAATTATGTTAACTGCTAATTGTGTGTGCGCAGTGTGGGCAGCAGATGGGGGCGGCGTGAGCGTGGGCGTGGGCGGGTGAGGCACGCATTCTTATGGTCGTTCAATGCAACAACACAGCGTATAGTAGATAACGTCGATTGGTCAAAGAGCTGAGGCAATAAAAATATTTGGACATGCAACAGCTCCATTTAAAGGCAACAGGAGCAGGTGGGCGGCTGTGGGCGAGCCTGGTTGCATTGGCAATTTAATCTGCGTGCTCGCAGCCGTTGGTAAATGAAAAGTGGGACTCTGTTCGTTACTTTTTTTTGGCCCAGTCGACGAGCTCTTTGAATTTCATTGCAGTCGCGTTTTTTCCACGATCGTCAACTGGTATTGGCAATTTAAGTGGATTCCAAAAAATACGCGCTTTCAACATTAACGCGCTCGGCCAATGACAATGGGAAAAAGTCGTTAGCCACGGCTAACGCTATTAAATTATTCATTTTTTTCTTAGTTGATCAATTTGATTTTCTCGCCGCTGATTGTTTGAATTTCGCTATCAACACATTGCTGCAAGGCCTTTGAAACGTAGATGCCACTCACTGACAGACAACACACAACAACAAAGTTGCGCTCTAAAGGGTGGCGCTCTGCTTCTTCGCTTGCTGGCTAAATATGTGTCAGAGTTCGATAAGCCCCAATGAGAAAGTGGAGCAAGGCATGTTCAATGAGCCGCTGGCAGAAACATAATTTATTTTGTGATTTACGGCTCGAAATGTGTTGGCCTGTGTAATGTTTATTTGCATTTGTTGTTGTTGTTGCGATTGCTCTTGGCCCAATATATCATTGGGGCCAACTGAAAAACTGACAACTACAAATTGGCCGCTGTTTATGCGGCCAGAACATGGGCGTGGCACACCTGCCGCGCACACAGCCCCTTTTCAGCCCACAGCCACCGCAATAGGTAAACACACTTAACCATGTGTGTATGCAAATTGTCATTGAGCCCCGCCCAACTACACGCCCATTAATAATACACAATTCTCATGTTTACAATTCATTTATGCTAATAAAACTTTTTTTCTGCTTAACAGTAAAAACAAACAAGTAAGAAAGTTCTAGTCGGGGTGCCCGACTAGGAGATACCCTGATCCCAGTCCTCTTTGAGTTTTTTAATATTTTCCGTAGTTTGTATCGAGTATTCAAAAAAAAAAAAAGAAAAATAAAAAACGACATTACGAGACCAGGTTTCGAACCCGGATTATTTGTGCAACGTGCACTAACTCTACCAACACCGCCACTTCATAATTTAAAAAAAAATAAAACAATAAGAAATGTTTCATCTCCACTGCTCTCAAACCCTGAACCTAGCTGCAACCGTGCGCCGCCTTTACCAACGCAGCCTGCTTTCATTGGCAATTGCAAATTTGAACATATGTAAGTAGCAGCTAATAATTCAGCACAATTCAAGCGCAATTTCAATTCTTGGAATAGAAAAGAATACACGCATTTGAATGTATGTGTGCACACGCATAGGAAAAATGCGTGCGCGTGGCGCTGCTTACATGTGCTGCTGACATGTGGACAGACGGACAGACGGACAGAGGGACAGAGGGACAGACAGACGGACGGACAGGACTCAATCGACTCGGCTTGTCGTCCTGATCAAGAATATATATACTTTATGGGGTCATGCCACGCCTCCTTCTGCCTGTTACATACATTTGCACAAAACCATTATACCCTGATTTCCCATTTTCAATGGGATCAGGTCGGGCTGCCCCGACTAGGAGATAGCCTGAAGCTAGTTCTACCTATCATTTTTACTATTTTCCACAGCTTGTATCGAGCATTCAGAAGAGACAAATAAAAACTAGAGCTGGTATCCCAAATATAATAAAAATCAAAATTGTATAAAATATACATAAAATAAAATGCAACATTTGGAGGCTGTAGCTCTTAAGCCGTGTGAGATACAATTTAATAACTGCATTTCGATCATCTATTTAATCGATAGCAATAAAACGGAAAGAGTTATCGATTATTTGCAACAATCTTGATACGCGCGTGCCACAAACAAATTTCTCTTCACACTTGCGGACAGACGGATCGACTCGATTTGTCTTCCTCTTCAAGAATATAGAATATATATAATTTATGGCGTCTGCCACGCCTTCTGCCTGTTACATACACTTTAACAAAAGCATTGTACCCAGAATTCCCATTTTCCATGGGTTCAGGGTATAAAAATAAATATGCCGAAATCAAAACTAGCGCAAATTTCATATAATTAATTGCAATTGAATCGATATCCAATTTGTTTGTTCATTTTTTGTGGATAGCCATATATTATATAAATATTTTTTCTATGCATAGATGCTTATTGTGCACATGCTGCGATTTTAAATCATGTGGCCTTAAAGTGCTTTAAGCCATTTGCTTCCATTAGGCATTATATTACAAATTGTCGCTTTGTGTACAGTGCGCCAAGGCCTAATTACTAATTAATTATTTTTAAGCAGCATAAAGGCGAACGCTGTTCCGTGTGCTCATTATGAATAGACATTTGGTGTGAGAATTACTAAACATAGTCAGAGACAACTGCGGGCTGCGCTGCGCTAATTGAGCGGCTGCAACTATTTGCCAGGTAAATACACAAAACTCTTTTGAATTTCAGTTGAAGAGTCCTTCATCGAATTTAGCTGCAAATGCGGTGGCAGTAAGTGGTAATTAGCACATACAGTGAACACTCGAATAAGGGACCCCTGATATGTTATGTTTAACAAATTCAATTCAATTTCAATGATTATTACGAGCTGGCGGAATATCGATTATTATCGATTATCAAGTTACTATCAACTAGCAAGTCTCTAGCTGAGCTCTGAGAGGTTTATCAGCTGAGCTGTTCAAATTTAAATAGCCTTTATATATATACATGTGTGTATAATATATGATATTATTGTGCATCTATATATCTATTTAAGAACAACAAATCTGAAGTGGCCATCGCAAACAGAAACTAGCAGCAGCGGCGGCTGCCTTTAAAATCAACGCATCCTAAATCAACCTAAACTTCATGTCAAGTGCTTTAACCAATGTAAGTGTTATACATACTGTAAATGTGCATGTATGCGTGTGTGTGTGTATGATTTAGCCACGTAACGCTCAACACTTGGCCACAACTCACTTAGAGCGTGCTCTGCCACAAATGGCCCTCTAACACTCGGAGACTCTGCAGCGGGAGGGCGCCCAAGTCCTATTTATGATAACCTGCTGATGCGGGTGGGTGTATTGTGTGCGTGTGTGTGTGCGCGCCTGAATGGCTTTCATTGGCACACAAAGCAACCCAATCAGGAACTTAAACCAGCAGCAACAAAAGCCTGCCATAATTTCCGCAACTTCAGCATTTGATTGGCAACGGCCGAAAAAGCTGTTTTAAATTTCAAATGGAAACATGTTGCACACCTTTAATCAGTCGGTGGCTCGAGCGCTGTTGTTCCCCTGCCAGCCACTTAGTTGGAGCTCTGTGCTCTGTGATTGTCTTCACTCATTTTGGCACTCAATGCTATTTGCTTAGCCTCGCAGCGAGCGTCGCGGAAATTTGAAATGCAAAGATCTAAAGCAAATATCTCAGGGGTAAATGCATAACATATAAACTCACACACACACATATATATATATATATATATGCACACGAATAGAAATATATGTGTATATTTTATGCACACATGTGTAAGCAGGTCAAAACTCAAGGATTCAATCACGCCACATGCTTCAACGCTCGAGCGCAAACAGAGCATTGCAAGAGTCCAACTTTTTATCAACTGCCCAACTCTGGGAAAACATTGCTGACACTTGAGGTTCGTTCACTCGAGGCTTAGATTCTAGGGTATATGGAGCAATCGTTACTCTACTTAAAGCATTTGTGAGCTTAAAACTAGACTTGAATAACAACTTTCGCTGATTACTTTGACTGTGAAAATGAAATATTTTAGGAAAATTGTTAGCTTAGAATATTAAAGTCGGAGTTCGAGCCACGGCAACAATTTTGAATAAATTCTCTTTTTTGCTATGTGCAAGTACAAGTTTAGGCAGAGGTTGGCCTATAATATTTACAGTTGTTGTATTTAAACCTTCCTTTATTTAGCTTTTTCTAAATTCAAAACTTCACTAAATGCGGAACTTCAGAGTAGAAATTCTTTAATAAGAGTAGAGAGAATCGGGGAATCAGAAAGTATTGCAATATTTCAAGAAATGTTTTTGAAAGCAAAAAAACCTTTAATTAAATTTGATAATAATAAAAATAAATACTTTGTTGGCCAAGCAGCAAAAGTGGGTATTCCCAAGCAACAACATGCAACAAAAACAAAAGAACATTTTCTCAATACGCATGAAACAATAAATATTCTCTGTTGAATTTGTGAAAATAAACTGAAATTATAAATAAGTTTCAGCCTCGAAGTTTTATCTCTGCTTTGCCTTTCAATTGAAGTTTTTAATTGTCTGCCTGTTGCAGCATGCCTCTGAACTAAGGCCTTCTCGAACTTTGCTGCAAGTGCAAAGCAAACTTGTCGCAAATATATTTTATGCAATATTTAAATGTTGCACATTCTGGGCATATCTGTTTGTTTTGTAAATTCACAGCCTGCCCATACATCGGACTGCATCTGTTTGCTTTTTGCTTTTGTTTATCAGCTCTGGCATTGGCACAAATATTTGGCCAACTGTTTGCTTAGACACTGCCCTGTGCCATTATGGAAAGTCTCTGAAAGTGAAGTAAATTGCTGAGACTCTCGTTCCCAGTGGCTTGACTGGACTCAGCAAGCAAATTGCGTGAATGATAAAGAGCATGAAATCCTGTTTAATTAAATTTATATACGGTATTCCGAGGGCAGCACAGAGAACGGTATCAATTGGACGTCTGGAAAGATGGCTTATGCAAACGTAGCTGCTTTATTGACGTCAGTCGGCACCTGAAGGAGTTGCTCATAAAACGACTTCATGTTGCGTATACGCAGCGTGAAACGTGCAACGTGCAACGTGCACCGAGCACTATTTAAATACCTTTTAATGACGTCGAAGGGGAGTTGATGGTTGATGGCAATCAGGCCGAAGATACGACTTCAAAATGTGACAGGGAAGGAGGGGGACGGGATGAGCTGTGCCCAGCAGTTTCTCCTTTCAATTTGCTGCTGTCTATTTTGAGGGATTTATTTTTAAATACGCTCCACTTGAGTTTTAAGCGGCAATCAAGTCGTTGTAAGCATCTACTTTATTGCAGCAAAGAGCGGCTGGCAAAGCGGCTTCATTACTCACTGAAATCGCAGCGTTTTAAGCAACAGTCAGTGGGACTTGTCGACCTCGTGGCAAGCTCGAGCAACGCTTTAGGGTTAGCTGCACAGCTAGGGTATTAGGCGTTCGGTGCCCCGGGAATACTCTTTCCATTCAATTGGAGCTTTTGTTGTGCTCTTTCAGCACATCTCTCTCAATAAAAGATGTAGTTCAGCATCAGCTTCAGGTTTTTACCTTGCCATGAGAATCCTTTGTGCGACGAGGACTCAATTATTTGTGCGTTACTTGTTTCATGCCTCCTCCGGCTAGCCGTGCAACACATTCGCATGCACTCTTATGGCCATTATGCCATATGCATAACTGCCATACAAATGTATGAAGTGTAACTTGTATTTGTTTGCTCTGCGAACACAATTGAATTTACCAAATTGCGGAAATAAATGCGCATTTAATATGCAAAAGAACGGGAGAAGTCGAAAGCAGCAGGCGAACAGCAACGAGGCGGCTGACAATGCCACTGAGGGGAGTAAGAAGATTTCCCAGCTGCTTAATGCTAAGTGAGGCCTTGATGATGGCAAGTTCGAAGCGGCAAGCACGAATCAAGTCTTTTGTTAATTACGTCATATTGATATGGGGATTACTTTAAGTGGCTTTGAATCATATATGACTGCAGTTGTCTACCAAACACACAGGATTGTAGGTTAATTGTTGCAAACAGAATATGAATGAGATTTATCTTCATCGAGTTGTATTTAATATATCTTTCATGCAACTTCAGTTGTTGATATAGCTGTGTTTAAATCCCTTAGAAATATTAGGCGTGCTTCTGTGGAATCAAATTTATAATTTACATTGTGCTCTGCACAGATTTCTCCACTCAATCACAGCAAGAAAAATGTGTTCTATTTACTTGGCAAGAAACAAATAGGGGTTTTAACGGTCTGTATTGATGAAACGGTTAACATGTCTTATTTAACAGTCTTAAGAACAGTCATGCGCTGTAAACAGCAGCACAGAGCGTTTCACAGCATCCCATTGTACCACCCCGCCACGAAGAACTCTTGTACGAAATGAAACACTGGCATGCATGAAATGAGGGGAAAGGCGCACGAGCGCTAAGCAAGCCGAACGGCAGATGAAAACGAAACAAACGAAATGGTATAAAGCATCCGTCCTGTGCCTGTAAACGAAATGAGAAACAATCGCTTTGAAATGGAACATCTGGTAAGAGGAGCAACAGCAACAGCAACAGCAACAGCAACAGCAACATCAGCGGCAGACTTGAGATATGAAACATCAAGCAAGGGGAGCCACATTAACAGCGGCCACAGCACGTAACAAGAAACGCGAAACATCAGAAATCAGATGAAACTTTAAATTTGTCTAAAAGTGTGCATGTGGCATTGGCACGCTCACTGCCTGGCCTGTGTGCGACTCCTTTTTGCTGCGGCAACTTAGTTGGAAATTTGCATGGCGCGGCGACGGACGTGTGTGAGCGGACAGAAAACTACGAAAGCCAAACGAAATCTAGCGCCAGGCGGATCGAAATTTAAAGGCGAGGCGCGAAATGTGCGAAAGTTTGAAAAACACACAAAATAGTAACTGGCTGCTGGCAACAAATACCAAGAAGTGGGCGCGCGATTGGGTGTGGCTCTGCTGCAGCAGTAATAAATGAATGTGAATCCGAGTGCTCATCCTTTCACAGAGCCCGTGTGAATACAAGACAACAAATGCAAATGTGTCTGTGAATTGCAATGTGTCCTTTATAAATCAACACAAAAATCACATTTCCAATTGCTGAGCATTAAAACGGATACAGCAAAGCCAACAGCAACAACAATAACAGCAGATCTAAAGTCAAAGTCGTCAAACAGCACTTCAAACGCTGATTGCGTCCTTGTAGTCCTTAAGAAAAAGTAAAATACAAAATAAAACAAGTGAAAGATGTGTGATTTGTGATAGCTGTGAAGCATGTGGCAAATCATTTGGAGCAGCACCAGCAGCAGCAGCCGCCACCTTCGGGCGTAGGTGAGTGGCATTGACACACGTGCCACGGCGCACAGGTACAGCTCGCCACGTTATATTATATGATGTAATATATTGAAATATAATCTGAGTCGACTTTCGACTAAGCTCCAAGGCTCGACACTCCATTGTGCTGGCATTGTGTGCGCCGCGTGTGAAAAGGTCGATTTTAAACTCATTAAGGAGACCTAGAGCAAAGCCGTTGAGAAGGTGTAAATACAAAGTAAAAGAAGAAGTGAAAAGCAGCTGAAAAAAAGGAACTGCTTCGACTCAGACTGTAGAACACTCAACTAAGAAATAATCAAATGAAAAGTTATGCCTCGCCGTTAACACTAATTGCTCATTGTAAACAACAGCGGCTAAACAGCTGATTGACTATTGACTGATTGACTGATCCAGATTGTGATTGACATCGAAACAGTTAAGCCAGGAAATTAAGAGTTTATCTGCCGGCTATCACCTCTGGGAAATATAAGTTAAACGGCTTAAGAAACTTCCTAATTTTCTCTTGATTGACTTTTTGCTTAAACACTTAATGTGCAAATCGAGATCATTCTCAGAGGAGTTGTCTGTGTCAATAATATATATATTGATGGACAGATGATCATCAAAGTTGTGGAAAAGCTGACAGTCATTGCAGCTGAGGGAAGTAGCGTCAAACACCTATAGATAGGCTTAATAGAAGCTGCTCAATTTGCAATTAATTAAATTTTCCTTTGGGATATGTCGGAAAACGAATTTCTCAGCAGCTCAGTGAACACTAAAAGACAGTGCTGGAAAATGCACACAGAAAATAAATCAGAAAATAATGTCAGTAGGTTCCACACATATTCTCTTCCCTCTGCAGATGTATAGAAATCTTGCATGGATAACATTTTGTTTTTATCCGAACAGAACATATTTTAAGGGCTATTCACACGCAGTTCAGAATGCAAAATCTGAGAAGTTTATCACTTATTAACAAAGACTCCAGAAGGAACGAATATTTGAGCTCTTTCCACACTTTATCCTTCGGATAAACAATTGGGGACAAAGCATAGAACAGGACAGGATAGTGCACACGTAAGCGCTCTTGCCACATTTTCATGCAACTTATTTTTGTTTCTTGCATCATATAAGCGAGTCGTAGCTGCTTTGTGATTTTCATATTGTGTTGTTGCCGCTGTGGCAAGCCACACGATAATTTGGTAAAAGTTTAAATTGGATGTGGTAGCAGCTGCTCCCAGGAGACTGTTCAGGTCTCTATTTACCTGGCCAACATAATGCCATGACACATATTTATTTGGCCAGAGCAAAATTCAAAAGAAATTAGTTTCTGCTATTTGCATGCAGGCCCAATTTTCGTAGCTCCCAGCACTCGAGGCAGGGCGTGGCCAAGCGCAATTCAACAATTTATTGACTTGCAATCAAAGCAGTTCGAGAACCACAGCCCCAAGAGCTAGGCCCTGCCACTGCTGACCAGTTAGTGCACCGGCCAGCCGGCTGCAACCAAGATAAATATCCATTCATCACATAACCTTGGTGGCAACGGTTGCCAGCGGGCGAGTTGGGCCAAAAGGTGGTTTTGTGGTTTTGTCTAACTGCGTTTTCCATCCTCGTTCTACTCTGTTTTTTTTTTTCGCTCTGTGCGGTTGGCTTTGCCAAATAAAATGCGGAATACGTTTGAGTGAGGCGAGTCGGAGTCACGTACGGGTCTATGCAAGAAACTTTAAAATTGCATTCGAAATATAATTAAATATCAGAAACCGTTAGACTGGCAGGTGTGCGACAGATAGAGAAAGAGAGAGCGAGCAGCACGCTTAGCTGCGTGTCTCTGTATGTGTGTTCTAAGCCGTGAAGCATGACAAGGTACTTGAGCTAACGAATCTCGGATTAAACGCAAAAAAAAAGCAGGAACAACAACAACTATTAAATAGATAAAGCAACAACAGCAACATCAACAGAAACAACAACAATAGAGACACATATCCAAGGTGTGACACAAAGCAGCCACCAATCTTCGCACGCAATAAAATGCGCTGTCGACGGGCAGCTAAAGGAGCGACAGCAGAAGGAGAAGGCGAAGGAGGCGGAGGGGCAGGCGCACTTGCTGGCAGAAGAGCCAGCAGATTTAGCCCGGCATCTGGAGTCAAGGGAGCTGGCAGCGTACTGCTGGCATTTCTGGCAGCTGTCAGCTTTTGTGGCATGCATACCCGTAAGTATAAACATCTTTTACTTTATGTTGTTCCAGCAAACATAGTGAGCTGTAGGAATGAGCGAGATTGTTGTTCCAGATATACATGTATATATCATAATATATATGTATATAATATATATTATAGCAATTAAAAGTTGTTGAACGTAATTGAAACTTTGAGTTAATTGAGTCACTCTATATTCATTTAAAGCACAATAGATAGATTAAGGCTGTTGACTCTAACTGACTGACTGACTGACTGATTGAATGATTGATTGATTAAGGCAGCGCGCTTGGCAGCGCTATCTATATCAAGGATCTAGGACTGCCTTAAAGAGCCTGACTCTGTTGACTGATAGACTGAAAAGACACATTACACATATTAAAATATTGTATATTTAAAATCTGTTAACTCCGTCAAATTGATTTACTAGACAGAGTGCTTCATTGACTGCCAAATGCACCTAGCTGTCGCACCTAGTCGTAGGGCTAAAGTTAGGCTTTAAATTACTGTGATTGCCTGTGAATAGACACAGAGTACAAACTATCGCTGCATAATATATATAAGCTACATAATATATACAGTAATAACATATATACCCAAGTCAGCTAAATTCCCCTACATCTATAAGCAGACAGTGAGCCGCAACTGGACTACTTTCACTCTCCAACAACCTTTCGACTGGTGAAAGTAATTTCAAGAACAGACACACTCAGCACTACATGCACATACATATGCTGAGTAAACAGTTGTATACATATGAACATATGTAAATACATATACATATATGTATGTACACTTATAAATATGTATGTACGAGCCACTCTCAAACATTTGGCGAAAACTTTTGGACTACGTGCTCTCCCCTTTGCTTTTTGTTTATACCCGTTTGACTGTATTTGCATGCATATTTAATTCAATTTCGCACATTTTTGTGCAAGCGTCGGAAGCATTTGCCAAATTTAATTTGCATGATGAGATTTGCGTGGCTGCATTGTCCTTGTTCTCTTGTTGCCGTTGCCGTTGTCGTTGCCGTTGCCGTTGGCAACTCGTTTGCACGATTTTTATAAGCTTGACGTGTTCATTTAATCGAGCTAAGCAAATTTTCATTTATCCATTCGCACACACTCACCTACACACACGGACGTGTACACCTTGACATTTCCTAAGCACCTGTCACTGCGTGTACATTCTGTACATGCAGCAAAAATTCATTACGCATACGCACTGTAGACAGGCCGAAGATACTCTTGCCGTTTCGAGTGCCCGTTACAAAAATGACTGGCACATCCTGCCACCCTACCCCAGCTCATTTTCGGCCTAATTGAAACATAGTCCATATACGAAACAATGCCTAGCTGCTCAATAAGCATTAATTGCTGAGCTCCGTACTTGATTAAGTTTTCGCCTTTGTTCCACAGGTGGACTCTGCGGGATGTGATTGTGAGTTCTTTGTTACTTGCCCAAATTGCAATTCATTCAAATTGCGTGCCTTATGGAGATAGTGCAAGCTTAAGTACTTATTGTTGATAGCTGCTCGGCAGCAGCTTTTCCTTTAATTGTTTGCCAAACCAACAAACTAAACCAGAAAAATCATGAAAATGTTTTGTGATTTACGGGACTTCGGAATCGTTTGATACATGCATGAAGCACTCTTGCCTGCAGAAATTTAAAATGTAAAATATTTGTAAACATTTTCAAGAATATTTCATGCACAGTTAAGGAGCTTAGCCGCAGTTAGCATAGTTTAGGCAATAAAAATTATATTCATATTCATCTATTAGTCGATTCTCATTCATTTGGCTGCGGCAGCACGCAGACTAATCAATCTCAGTTGAGCTATCTGCAAGGCCAAGGCGCCGCCATTAATAACACATGTGTCCATCCGCACGCTTGTTATATAATTTGATGGGAATCATAGAAAGGAAGCGAAACAAAAACCAAAAGCAAGCAAATAAAAATATAAATAGACACTCGAATAACACTTAGGCCATCAATCAGCGCAGCTGCCAAGGTCAACGTTGAAGTCAGACTGAGAGTCAGAGTGGACTCCGCCTGCTGCCCCCAACTGTTAATTCCAACAAGAGCTAAAACAAACTCCCAACTATATATTTTATGCGAGCGCACACATAAGATACAAGTATTTGCCAAGTAAATGCCGTCCAAGACAAATGGCGGTCAAATGTCACATTTAATTTATTTATGGGGCGTTGCTGTAGAGCGCCCTGGTTGGCGGGGTGGGGCCAGGCTTTAATTAAATAACTGCGCTAAGTGAAGCCGAAGAGTTGACGTCGCTAATACAGCCATTAGCCGAATTCGTGCAGAGCTTGTAAATTCTCATTTGCCCGAGATGAAAACAATATTTCATGCTGCCCGTCCACGAACACGAAAAGTTGGCCGAAACACTCGCTGCGTGCCCATCTAACTCCATATATACGCAGCATTTTACATTTCATTTCACATTTAGAATTAAACTACAACTGAACAACTCAGCTCGCAACTATGTTGCAAACAGCTGCTGGAAAAACGCTACTCGCAGCTGTGAACAAGCCCACAGCCAATTTAATTAAGACTCAGCAACATTTCAGCGTCATTCAAAACAATTTCCAGACAGGAACTACATTAATTGTAGCTTAACAAATGCAAATTTCAGATTTCCATTGAAATCTTTCACGACTTAACTATCTGCATGATTCATTGTTGAGCCATCTATTGCTTGCCTGACAATGCTCAAATAATTGCCTCACGCTGCCTCAACAGCAGCAGGCAGAGCAATCAGCCCAATATCAGTTTGGCCTGTTACATGAGCATATATGCATGTATGTATGTACATACACATGCTGTTTATGCATATTTGTGTGCAAATTAGAAACAATGTAAAGCAACAACAAAAACATCCCAGCGGGCAGTCAAAATCATCCATCACGGCGCGCTCGAATGTAGGCAACAGTTTTTCTGCGGCAATCAAAACAAGTGAGAACGTCGGCATAATTGACGGCATAAAACTCGTCCATGATACAAAAATGGCAAAATGCAATACATAATCGAATATATAATAAAAATTTTTCAATTTGAAAGTTATATAACTGCAGAAAAGCTCAACATTCAGCTATTATATTTTCTTTCTCATAAACTCAGTGCTTCTATAGCTGCACCTGTGCAAATTCCAGGTCTACAAATACCATCAGAATGCTCTCATAAAGCCAAAAGTACGGACGGACGGACGGGTATTTCTTAAGCCCAAGCAACTCTTTTCACTTTTTTCTTTCACTTTTAAGAGTTAAATGTACGCCACGCCCACTTAGCACTTAAGCCGTGTAATTGCAGGAAAAGAAAGCGCAAGCAGAAAAAATCAAAGTAAATGTCGATGTGAGCTACGCCCCGTCATTTGCTCAAAGAACACGAACGAATATTTGGACAGCCGCAACGAACGACAAATACTCTATGAAACTCCAAATTATTAATGGAGAAATTGTTGAAGACTTGAAAGGTTAAAAGAACTATTTTTATATTAAAGCCATCAATTAGGAGTTGCCCTAATAAAAGTATCTGAATTATATTTTTTAATACTTCTTTTTTTAACAACAAAACTTTTTGCTCAAATAAAATATTTTATATAAGCTTATCATATAAATTTATGCATACCAAAATTTGCTTTACAATTTTGACATTGCCTAAAAATAAGTAAATTTTAATAAAATTTACACTTGATCGTAAAATCATTTTCCTTTTTATTATGCTTTTTTTGTAATATGAAATATATATAGATATATAATAAATACTTATAGATCAAGTTGCAGTGCCAAGCAGAGTTGAGCTGTCGGAAAAGCTGGAAGTTACAAGTTAAACCGGAATATACGCAACAAACTTGGCGAGGCCATCACATTGCCCCACTTGGCAGGGCAACAAACAATAGGAACGTGCGGCTCTTGATAAAAATGTGGCAAAGCTGTTGATGTAGGTCGGCGACTGTGTGAGCGTGTGTGTGTGTGAGTGTGTGTTAGTGGCAGAAAGGGAAATTTACGAGCTCATACTTTTCAGTAAAGTTTTCTTTGTATTTACTTTATTTTTTTCCTTTTACGAAACCAAAACGCCGCCGGACGTGGCTCTGAGGCGCAGTCGGAACTAAGCATATTGACTTCTTGACTTACTACGAGCATAGGAATCTTTGTGTGTGTGAGAGTGTGTGTAAGGCTGCATGTGACAGACATTTGAACTGTTCGATTATGCATGAAACTAGTTATGTGTGCTTAAGTCGGCAAGTGCGTGAGCCAGCCAATCTTAGGTGTGCGTGTGTGCGTGGGTGCTTGTGCGTGTGTGTGTATTATGAGCCCATAAATGACGAGTTATGCGCTCTAATTAATGTGCTAAAATATGCGCGTGCCAAATGTGGCAACCACTGTAATATTCTAGCCAAATGCATAAATGTGAGCTCGCTTTCTGGGAACAGAGCTCTTTATATATGTGTGCAAGTTATATAAGGGCGCCAGGCGCCGTTTTCATGGCCACATCATGCGGCTGCTGCGGCATCTGCTCTTCATTTTCATTTTCATTCACATTTTTTTAAAAAGAAGTGAGCGAACGTGTGAAGATATGTGCTGGCAAATTAAAATAACATTAGGTCAAGCGAGCGTGAAAAGGTTTTGCCCGAAAAAAGGAAAGTAACGAATGCAGCAGTGAGGAGATATTTCTAATATGTGAGGCTCTAGCCAAAGCTTAGCAGAGCGTTAAGGAAATTGAAATAAATACTGCATTAAATGAACAGAACTTATGTAATATAATATTAATAGAACAACTTGCCAAGTAGCAGCAAAAAGTGCTTGAATCTAAAAGTGCAAATAGTGAATCGGATGAGCTTCGACTTAATATAATAATATATTCTATAAAGCAACTCGAAGCTTACTACACAGAACTAATACAATTGCTTAAAAGTGTTTAAGTTGAAGTATAGGATCTTTTTAATTCAGAGAATTTTACCTATTCTAAAACAATAAAGTACTAAAAATATGTAAAATTGCAGAAATTACTGAATGGAAGGATTTATAGAGGCCCAGAATTAAATAAAGAATATTTTAAATACATAAGTGCTTAATATCTATTTCAATATGAATCTTATGCTTGCATATTTTTAAGCCCTCGGTTTCATTGAAAACGGATTTGTTGAAATGCATGCGATAGGCAGAAGGAAGCGTGGTAAGGGATACTGAATCCCAGACATACACTAGGAATTTTTCAATTTTGGTTGATATAAATAAATAGCTCTTATTTCTGATTTATGCATATTTCTTACTTTACCTTTCTATACATTCATTAAATTTTGTTAACGTTGTTCCCATATTTTTTGTTCATTTATTTTCATGCAAATGTCCTAAGCCGAACATACTAGAATTTGCCGAATCTTGTTTTCCTGTTCTTGAAGAAAACATGGCAAACACACTTTAAGCATGCCACCAGCCGCACCTACACACACACACACAGTTACAAAGAACTTGTTTGTGTCATGTGTAATTAATAACAAAACAAATTACCCAAGCAAAATGAAACAGAAAGTAGTCTGCATGCTGTATGAGCCTGGGCCGTATTACACAATGTTCAACGCGTAATTAGGCCGGCGCCGCTCATCCATTTACTAACACTGGCCAACACAATTAGGTCAAAGGCTAAAATATGCAATCTTAAAGCAAACAGCTTGCAGTGGATGGCTTAAGATTACCTCAATATAAATTTTAATGCTACAGCTTTTAACTTGATACACAAATCAAATTAAAATTGTAAGGCTTAAATTGTTTATTCCATTATTTCTCTCTCTCTCTCTCATACTTAACGTTAATGCCTTTCGTTCCGAGCAATATAACAATTCGATAGATCATTTCATTTAAAAAGCGAGCAATATATTCCCATTTTAGCCGGGTCCTGCTCCATTCTTTTCCACTTCACTGAGTGCGTAATTTCAGGCGCCAACTGATAACAAAGCAGACTTTTTGGGGACAAACAGAATGTACACCTAACGCACCCGTGCCCCTCCACTCCCCTCCTGCCATCCCTTCCTTGACCCAACCTCATTCAGTTCAACGAAACGACCTAAATTATAGCCAAGCAATTTGTTTATGTTTTGTTGGCCGCTTTAAATGGACGAAGCGTTCAACTAATCATTTGTTTAACGATTGTAAGGAAATTCTCAATTTGCATAGCAGGCGCAGGCATCGATAATGTTTGCGATAAACAAATTCTATAATTGTCTCACTAATTAAATGGGAAAACACGAAAAAATTAAAGTAATCATAGAGGAAAACCGGCAAAGCCGAAATCAGTTTATGTGGTTTACACAACTGTTCAACTAATTACCACAGCAAATGCTGTTGAAGCTTGTTTTTGTTGTTTTCAATTTATTTCCCATTTGTTTTACAAACTTGTTGGCCAAAAAAATAGTTTTTAATTGCAACGTTATATGTATATATATATATATGTATGTATATATTTATATATACGCACAACAAGTGGAATTCGCCACAAAAACCAAATGCGATTAAAATAAAAAGTTGCAAAAACTCTCTGAAAATTTGCTCGTTATCCCATTGAAGTGCGCGGCTCAGTCTGCTTTTGAGCAGCTTCTTCCTTTAAAGTTGACAACAATTTAAAATAATAGTAATAATAATAATAATACAAGCCTGGGCCACTCAGTTGGCCAACTGCTTCAAGCGGCAGCAGCTGCCGCCTCGAAACTGTGCAAAACTATTTCAGCAAATGGTTTCCAGCTCGACTAAAGCATTTTCATAAAAAACTGTAACTTATGAGCGTATTTTGTGTGGGTGTGTGTGTGGGTGTATGTGTTTTCACTTGGTATTACATTATTTACATAATAAATACTTAGCAATAATTTGTTATGCTCTGCGTAAATTTGATGCTCGAGGCGAAAAGCTGGCTGCTCAAATACAAGACGGAAAATGCGTGCAAAACGGAAGGGAAAATGAAAATGGAAATGGTATTAAGCTCAGTGCGTGCCACAAAGTGGGCGTAATCGAGTGGGCGTCGTGGCGGCATTGTCTGTACGACCAAAAGCCTGCACAATGCAAGAGAAACTTGAGCTGTTTTTTTTTTATTTCCTATTTTGAGAGCCATCTGCGGCATTTTTCGTTACGCCATCGAAAATTGGCCTGGGGCAGCGAAGTTGATTTTATGTGGCAACATCAAGTGCGTCGTGCACTGCCAGCCAGGATCAATTTATTAATTTAAAGACAGAGCAGCCAAATTAAGCATATTAAAACAAATGCCACGTTTCAATAGCAGCTGTCGGCACATAAGGCATTTAGATGAAAACAATCTCTATAAGTCATTTAGCTTAGTTCTATTCAGCTTTACTATATTTCTTCTGCGGCAATCAGTCCAAGGCCCTTGGGCCTGGAGAATAGCTGTGCTTAACGTGGCAAGCAGCAAACGCAGTTGTCGAGTGCAGCGTGAGTCAAGATCTCACACCATCAGAAACAAAGTCGAGGCCAAGGCAGCCAACCTATGACAATAGTGAAGCACCCTCAGGGCCATCAGCACCAAGAGCATTTCATTTGAGCACATGAGTAAAGAATTGAAGCTGCACTCGAGGCAGCGTTAGATACACGCTGGATAGAAGAAGTAGCATCAGTTGCTGTGGCAACAATGCAACAGGCGTGGAAATCTGTCATGTCTTCACAGGCAGCCAGAGAAAGTCAAAGTCATCTGCGGATGAGTCGTGCACTCTGCCCAGGACAACTGTGAACAGTTGAAGTGAAAATACTGATCCGCAAAATTGTTGCCACATGCGTAACGCATCCGCCAAGCTGGTGGCAATCAGACATGCCACCAACTGTGACGAGTGCAGACCACATCAATCCAATCCTCCTACAATGTCCATGCTCGTTGGAGATATTTGTGGCTTTGCTTACTGTGGTTACTTGGCTACTCCTTGTGCTCCTTATGCTTATGCTTATGCTTATGCTACTTCTTCATTTTCATCGTCTGCATTCGCCAGGCATTCCTAGTAATCCAACCAGCTCAAAGCATAGTTGTGGCTTAATTGGAATTTATAAGTCTCTCAGATGTTTTATTTCAAGTAAAATGTATTTGTGTGTATTTAAGTCAAATAATTAATCAGTTCGTGGCTAAGAGTTGAAATATGTATTTGGCAAATTTAAATATAATTTGATTATCGCAAATTCTAATCGTATCTCACAATCAAATTGAATCACATTAAAGCTGCCTATCGGGCAATGCACAGAGTAAATGGAAATCATTTCCTTGAATCAAATTTAATTTCTTTGAATCATATCAGCTACGACTTGGGTGCATTCAAGTCAAATCAATTGTAAAGTTTGCACTTGCCAATCATTTGGCTAGTCGCTGAACAGGCAATAATTTAATAAGTTATCCTTTAAGATCGGAACTAATTTCCTTTGCCCTGCAGCTTCAATGTGTGTTTTGTGTTTATCAACAATTTAAGCATTAAGTAGCTAGATCTTAAATACATGTAACTCTATATATATATATATATATATATATATATATATATATATATGCATTTGTACATCTATATAGGCATTTGAATCAGGCGAAGCCTGCCTAATATATTTCATAGTTGGCTCAAAAAGAGTAGATTCAAATGGCCTTTCCTTCACTCACAGTGCTTGTTCCACAAATTAGATATTTCTTATTAAATACAACAATATTTTTAAATAATAATAATATATGTCTTCTTATATCTATTATTTGATCTATAGACAGAGATTGATTGACTTTTTTAAATACAATCTTTAAGCTCTGTGAACTTAAGCTTAGCAATCAAAGTATAAATAGAAAACAATTGAATATTGCTCAGCTAAGATTATCTATACCTATGAGTATTTATATCTATCTACAGTATTGTAGCCTAGTAACAGTAACTACATCTTTTCGTCTTAAAGCTGTGGGGTATCCAACTCTGCTTAGATAAAGCAAACGGCAGAGAGTAGGCATTTGCAATTTGATTATTTAACTTTGCGTCTCTGTCGCTCTCACTGTAGCAGTGACAGTATAACCAAAGGAACAGTAGCCTGATTAGACGAAAATCGCATTCATGTCCTCTTTCTTGACCTATTTTGCAGCACTGGCAGCAAATGCCTCAACGCTTGGCGACAACTCATCGCTAATTGCGGCAACGAACGGGGCAACAGACGCTGCCACAGCTGCCACAACTTTGCTGGGCAATCAATGGGGCATTGAGCCGGAGAGCAGCACAACGGAACAGCAAACGGCGGATATTTGGAGTGAGCAACCCGATACGGCAACTTTGACAAAAGGCTTCTCGATACCCACGTATTTGCCACCTTTTCCGGATTTCATTGCTGCTGATTTGCCACAGTCGTCGTTGACAACGACAACGACGTCAACAATGCAGGGCCACAGTCGAATCCCCGCGGGCCAGGCCATTGCTGATACGGACTCCGTGCAATCGACTCCTAATAAGCAACAGCCACAGCCACATATGCGTCTACATGCCTACGATAGCGAACAAAAGGAGCAGCAGCTGCGACGAGAGAAGCAGCTGGCACGTGAGCGGGAGAAGTTGCCCAGGCCCCATCTCAGTCTACCATCTCGGAATGTTACCGTACAGGCGGGCCAGCATGCCTATCTGCCGTGCCAGGTGAGTGGGTGGCAAGTTAATTATCTTGATTGAAATGCCACATCCTTTCCGTCATTGCAGCTGCATCAGCACTCAAACAAGCCGCTCTCCTGGGTACGGCTACGGGATGAACATATCATCGCTGTGGATCACACAACATTTATCAATGATGCACGCTTCGCAGCCCTGCTTCAGTCATCCCATTCAAATCTTACCAGCAGCATAGTGGATGTTGTCAATGGCAGCGGCAGCAGCAGCAGCAGCAGCCTTGGCTGGACTTTGCTCATCAAATATGTCAATCTGCAGGACATGGGCTGGTATGAATGCCAGCTAGCCACAGAGCCCAAAATGAGCGCCAAAGTCCAGCTTTTTGTGATAAGTAAGTCAGTTAACTCAACTACAAAAGTCTAATTGATTCATTACAAACAAATATGTAACACATTGAAGGAAGGAACGCAGGCAGTTGTCTGTCTGCTTGTTTGGAGCATAGGTACAAAGGCAATCATTGGCAGAAGATTTCATATGGGCTTAGTTTTCGTATAACGCAAATCACAAGTCTTCGGCAGTTGGCAATGATTTTCTCTTGCTTCATCTGACAATTGATTGATTGATTTATTGACTTTTTATACAGCTCCAAAAACGGAACTCATTGGCGATAAGCAACGCTTTGTCAAGGCTGGCAGCAGAGTGGAACTTCACTGCATTGTGCGTGGCACATTGGAGGCGCCAAAGTACATAGTCTGGTATCGAGAGAATCAACAGGTGATGTCCGAGAACGAGGCGAGTGGCATCGACAATGGCTGGTACACACAAATCGATCGAAATATCTTTGGCAGCACCGAGCACAATCGCAACACGGTGGGAAGAACTATTAAGCATAGACAGAACAGAGAGGAGAATAATCTATATGTATTTGCTTTAATTTTCACACAGATCGGCAGCTTAGTCATACCCATAGTGCGTAAGAGCCATTCCGGAAACTACACCTGCGAGCCGGAGAACAGTGAAGCTGTTTCCATACAACTGCATGTGCTTAGCGGTAAACGACCACACATACATATATCGTATATACACATATACATATCTATATATATCTATATATAACATTCTTTCTGCAGGCGAGTACTCGGCTTCGGCAATAATGTCCACAGCGGCTGGATTGTATAAGCATGGCCATGGCTACAACAGTTTTCATCAGTGGCTGATCTTTCTGCTATTGGCAATTCATAAGACATGAGCATGCCGTGGCATCCATCCCGTTGGAATAATATGTGTTTAATAATACTGATAAGGTTAATTTCTAGGTAAACTGCACACCCTTTTAAAGTAAATAATACTCCGGGCACTTGTGGAAGTGTTTGCGACGTTTTCTCACTTAATTTCTGCACCGTATTTCATACAACTTCTAGATATAATATGTCATGTCCTTTGTTATTGCTTTTGAAATTAGATTGCTAAGCATTTTTAACTTTAAGCATTCAATTGTGTTTGAGACAAAGATATTTGCGTAAATAAAGCCAAAGGCGTATTAAGTAAGACTCTTAAAATTCAAGAAAAATTAGGCGTTTCATTTCACCAAGAGTAGACCGTGTAAACGCACAAGCGTTGCGAATAGATAACGTTGTAAAACTATGTTTCAGCAAAATTAAACAAAGAGAGTTAGATGTATCGTAAGAGCGCAGTAAAGCTTTTATTAAAATAGCTGTACATCATAAATAAGAGAGCACAGTATGTGCTCTCTTTCTCTATTTGAATGTGCGTTGAAAATGGCTTTTTTTTCTTAAATGCAAAACTCAGTCTTGAATTACAACGAAGTTGAGCACATTTATATCAAAGTAAAATTACGCAGCATTTCATTTATCCTTGAACACCCGACACTATTTCGATTAACAGAAACTAAATTGTTATGTTTTGTAATCGCACAAATACTACTTAGTAGGTGCTACTACTATAACGGGATCAAAAGCAACCATGCAATTTTCCCGCATTCAATTCTCATTCCTATGGTTCAATTGCTAAGCACCAACAAACACAACACTAATGCCTTAATTAGATTTCACATACACAAAACTAATTCGAATTATTCAACACTTGCCTACGCAATAGCATCATAGACACCAACCATTTATGTTCGCTTGCCTAAGCAGCACACTGCGCTGAATACTTCACAACCGGTAACGGGATCAAAAGCATTTCACCCAATATCGTAAATGTTCGCTCTGATTCTGCTTATAAAGTACTTGAATTGTATTTGAGTTTCTGAGCTGCATTGATAAAGAGCACTCTTAGACAGCGCGAGGCTTCCTCTTAAATCGTGTTACTTAATAATCTCTTCTACAGCGGCACGTTGCATTTTAACACTAGCAATTCTCTTTCGAGAAACTATAAATTTTGTTAAGCGTTAAACTTTTGTAGTTTTTCTTAGCATCAATTCAAACTCATGAACTAGTTACCATATTTTATCAAGAAAATTATCTGCGTACACACTTACCATATAAATCTATTTATATAGGCATATTTCAAGATGAAAATAAAATAAAAAAAAAACGAGCCGTAATTCAGGTCGAAATAGATAGAGGAGAAAAGTTGGAGATTGTGTGGAAACTGATGACGCCTTTTGTTTTGCTTTTCTTTTGCTTTGTGGAATTTGGCTTTATAATTTTCCGCGATATTCTTGATTGTCGCCTCCCACCGCTGCGCCTGCGAGCCGAGCCGAGCTCATTTATCAACGCGGCTGACCAAAGCCAACAAGGAGGCGAGGAGAAGGAAGGAAGAGCCGCAGCTAAAGTTTTATGGCCAACTTTGAATTTTCTTGCCACATTTTCACCTTACGCTTTTCTTATTTCCTCGCCACAGCCACTCAGCAAACAATTTACAGCTGGACAGCGGAAAAGCAGCTGGCAGAAAAAGGCAGAACTTGCAAGTGGGACAGGTAAAACTAAGACCTAATCACTTTTTGATTTATTTTGAGCTTAAAGTTCTGCCAGGATTTGAAAAGTCTGCTATGGCCTGTTGCACGAGAGATTTGACAAATTGAAATATGAAATTGATTGAAATATATGTAATATAATATATGTAAATCCCTATATATAGAAAACATCAATTAAGTAGCTTACATTTGCTTCTACAAATGACCAAATAAATGCCATCAACTTTTTTTTTAACTTTTGGGGGCTTTGCGAGAGTAGCTTAAAACATTTTTGGTACCAAACGAATATAAATTTGTTGTAATCATTATATTACAACTTTCATTCAAAAAACTTATATATTTAAACTGAAATATTTGTTTTATATTTTCCGTGAATTTCCAATAAATTTCTATCTTTTATCTTAAAAAAAATATCATGAATTCAGCTTTTAAAATTTTTTAAAAAATAATTTCAATAAAATAATAATTATACATTTTATTTTAAACCGAATTAATTTTAATTTAAGTGCATCATTCAGTAATTTTGTATCTTCATAAAAAAGTGTGTTTAATATATATGTTATTATTAATTTTTTATATTCTATCTTCTCATATCTTCAAAATATAATAGCTAATAAATTCCTTTTTTCTGTCTTCTGCTATCGCACATAATGCACATCACGAACGCTCATCACGTGTGGTATGAACGACGCCCACATCCTGAACACTTTTGAGGTCACATTATTGTGGCCGTAAAGCGTTTAAAAGTTAGCGTGAAACTTGTCTCAAAACTTTAGTCAAGGAAATTTGAATAAGAAACAGCTCATAATCTTTGCCTGTCCAATTAAGTGTCCTTGCTGGCGTCACATATGTGCAGAAACTGGTTTAGGGTAAGCCGACTGTAATTGAATGAATTAAGTTTTCACTTATTTCAGCTATTTTTATAGCTGAACGTCAAGTTGCATATTTAACATTATACCTTTATTTTTACAAACTTGCAAATTTATGAATCCCCCGAGATTTATCATCATATTTTAGTTATGTGCAAATCGCCAACAGAATTTAAACTTTTTTCTATTATCAGTGAATGATGACGCATCAAAAATTCATTTAGCTGTGCCAAAGCTCACACCTGTTGCGCACTGCGAACGGTTGTATGCGCATGCTCACGATTCAAAAACTGTTCCCAGTGCCAAGGCTGAAAAAAACTGTTCCCAGTTCCCCAAAAACCAACGAGTAAAAACAGCTGATGAAAGTTTAATGTCCACTGCAATGATATTGTATAGAAAAAGTCGATATAGTTTGTAAATTTATATAATTAATTTAATAACCTTTTATTTGCATTAATATGCACAACTTTATAGATATATATTTATATATATTTTTTAAATTTGTTTTCAAACTAAACGAGCTTAAAGTTGAACTAAAAAGCATATTCTTGCAATTTTTGTTTTGTTTCGATTTTTACATTTCAATTTTACTTATGTATATAGAAATATATATATTTTTATATATTTGATATACGTGGAATGCACAAATATAATTTTGTTGCTCATTTATTTGTTGTTGTTTCAGAATAAATTGTATTCTATATAATAATATATATGTTTGTTTTAAAGCCTTTAGGTTCTTGTGTAGTGAAATCCTATTTGATTTTAAATTGGTTCATTTCGTCTATGAATTAGGGTTTTTATTTGTTTGTTGCTTTAAAAGGTGTACGAAAAAAGTTGTAATTAAAAATATATTCGTTATATGTGTATATATATATATATATAATAAACGCGAATTTTCGTTTTGCTTGTAAATATACATTTTTGTTTTTCTACTTTTGTTGTATTTTTTTTATAATAATTGAATAATTGGACCATTTGTTATATGACGTCGTGGCTTATCGTTTCCTATCATATATTTATAATAATATTAGTAATAATAATAAACATTTCGTGTTGTTCCGCACAATTCCCAGGTAAATGTATCTAAACTAACGCACATCTTCATTTACATGTCTATCGATAAAAGTAAATACTAAATATTTTCATTTGATGCAACAGTTTGTTAAACATAAACATATATATATATATATATATATATATATATATATATATATATATATATATATATATAAAGTTTTATCTTATATATGTGCACATATATATATTCGCATTAAGCTTTACAAATGTGGCTCGCCCAACGTTCGTTGCCCTGTCTAGGCTTTCTAAATCATAATATATGTATATGGTGTATATGAAGACTATGGTTTAATATGCTAATTTTTCTTTTCACTAATTGAATTCAGTTAACGTTATCAACTCTTGTTAGCTACACATACTACGCAACTAGTCCATCTATATAGATCGTAATGCAGTAACTATTGGATGCTATGCAAATTCGTTAGGTTTTGTCATATGTCTGCTATGTGTGGTCCATATATATATCTATCTATATATATATTTGTAGTTATATAGCGCGGTTGGCCCACAATTCGACTGAGTGATTAGGTGAATGTGTGGATGTACTACTGCTTATGATTCTTATGATATAATTTATAGGTGCTCTCAGTGCACTGCATCAATGTCTCGTTGCGCTCGAGATATCTTCAGCTTATCCTTGGGCGTGTTATCTTCGCCCGATTCCAGGGCAAACATCTTCATTTTCTCCTTGAACGAGAGCTTCTCGGGCACCGCATCGCCGGCGCGTTGTTGTTGCTGCTGTTGCTGCTTCTCCGCCAACCGACGTGTTCGAGGATCTCTGTTGACAAATTTCAAACAGATCGTTAGCATAAAGATTGTTTTTTGACAGTATTAGGTGTGGCTTACCTGTACACCTCCTGGGCGCCTATGACGCCAGGCGTTGATTGCACTGTGGTATTCCAGAGCGCCGCATCCGGCGTGGCAGGCATCGAGGGCAACATGGAGACATCCACATTGTGCTGCATGTACTGCATGATAGAAATATATAGGTGTAAACAAATTAATGTTGAACTTGTTCACAACTAGAACTTACGCTTGCATCCTCGCGTATGGTATCCAAATCCTGATGCTCCAGCGCGTAGCTATCCAATAGATATTGCTGCTGTTGCTGTTGCAGTTGTTGTTGCAACAGCTGCTGCTGCTGCTGCTGGGACATCAAGTTGTTGTCCTCATCATGGAAGCTCACGCGCTTGTTGTCCCGCTGCAGCAAAGGCGGCGGCGTGCCCATACTCATGCCCGTGCCCGTGGCTGACACATAGGCGGCATTCAATTCCATTGCACTCAGCGGCGACGCTTGCATTGTATTATTGTTCAAGCTATTGTTATTATTATTATTTGTGATGCCATGCATTGTGGCCTTCTTCACCTCCACGGCGGCTGCCTGATTGCTGGTGGCCGTCTTCAGCAGTCCTATCGAAGAGCTGGAGGACGAGTTGCCTCCAACGCTGCCGCGCAGCTTCTGCTGTGACATAATCAAATAGGAGCTATTGCGCTCAGGTGGTGGCGGCGGTGGCACTGAACCATCTAAGGCTGTCTCGTTATTGTTGTCCTTGTCCAGCATGCTCAGCTGGGTCAGCTCCTTGGCCAGGCTGGATATGGGATGCTCCGTTTGCAGATGTCGTTCGTCAGCGAAACTAGCTGATTTTTGTGACTTGGAGGGCGAAGAGGGAGCACCCACAGAGCTGCCAGCTGTGCCGCCTTCCGTGTAGCGATTGTGTTTCAGTATGCTCTTGGGCTGCGGTTGTGTGGATGTTGCTGCCGAAGTTACTGCTGATGCAGCTGGCACTGATGATGTTGCAGGTGGTGCTGCAGGTTCAACTGGACTGCTCTCCCCGATCTCGGTCAGCTTGATCTCTGTCTGACGGTAGCTGGTAATGGGCGTTTGTATGGCACTGACCTGCACCTGACCGCTCGCTGACAAACGGAACAGCTCTTGCACATTTTCCTTGTCGTAGGCCTGATCATGCTCCTCCTCCTGCTCCTGCAGCTCCTGTGCACGCCGCTCAAAGTCGCGCTCGAGTATAAGCGTCTTCAGCTGCTCCTCCTGCTGTGGACTACGCGCCAATATGGCCGATAGCTCTGCGATCTGCTGTTCTCGCCATTGCCTTATGTGCTCGCGCCGCATTTCCAAATCCTTTTCGCGCTCCTCACGCTCCCAGGGATTGCTGCCGCTGTGCAGCGATCGTGCTGCTGACTGGCTTGCAGGCAAAAAGCTGCCTTTAGGTGGATCCAGAGTGCTGGCCACATAATTCATGCCCGGCGCCAGCTGCTGCGTGGCCTTGAACAGCGGATGCGTCGCTGTTGGCGGCAATGGAGGCTTATCCTCGGCCAGCACATGACTGGGCAGATAGCCTGCCTGTTGCTGCTGCAGTCGCTGCTGCTGTTGCTGTTGTTGCTGTGGCTTGGGCGCCGTGCTGGGCGGTCCTACTGGCTTGTTTGGCGATTGTAAGCTGCCAATAGGCTTTGGTGGCAGCGTTATAAAGTTTGGCGAAGCCTGTTGCTGCTGCTGTTGCTGGTGTTGCTGCTGCAACTCGTAGAGTGCAGCTGCCTCATGCAGCTGACTGCGTCGCGCATGTTGCTGATAGTCGAGCCCACCATTTTGATAGCCCGACACAAACTCATTCACATTCTGCATGCTCTGGCTGGCACTCATAGGCGGCTGTTGCTGCGACAGCTGCTGCTGCTGTTGCTGTTGCTGTTGGTGCTGCTGCTGCTGCTGGTACATGTTGCTGATGTTGGGCATGGAAGGTGCTAACATTTGCTGCATACGCAGCGTGTGCTGAAAGTTTGGCTGATTCTTCACACGATTGTTCAACGTCAGCTGCTGTCCATTGAGATTGCTGCTGCTGTGTGCGAATTGCTGCTGTTGCAGTGCATGTTGCTGCTGCTGTTGCTGTTGCTGCTGTTGCTGTTGCTGTTGCTGTTGCAGCTGCTGCTGTGCACTTTGCTGGCTGTGATAATAGGCGGAAACGGGACGACTGGGCAGATTAGCGCTAGCCTGCAAATGTTGTTGGTAGGGTGAGGCCTGTTGCTGCTGTTGTTGTTGCTGCTGTTGCAGTGTGGCGGCATGCGGGGAATTGCCATTGTAGGCGCTCATGGCGGCATGCGCAGACATGCTGGGTCTGTAAGCAATAAATAACAAGAGTTTATACTATATACATATATATTATCTGTATTGCTTGCGCCGACAGCAACTGTTGCTGTTGTGAGTCACATGTGTTGCCGTGTTGCCATAGCTGCGTGTTCTTAATTAGGAAAAGTTGTGTCTGTGCCGACATTGACATAAATTGTGAATTGTGTTCAGTGTGCTCTTGCTCTTGTTGCAGTTGTGCCTGTACAGAAGCAACACGCACATAACGAACCCAATATAAATAATAACAGTAACAACAACACCAACCAGATGGTGTGTACTCACGTACATGTCGCATTTCTAGCAGCTGATATTCACTCTGTATGGGTATAAAGCCGTAAAGGAATTTCTTTACGCGCAATGTCATCCTATAAAAGTTCAAATTTTTAGTTATAGCCAACAACAGCAACACATGGAAGAGTGAGCAACAGTTGCTATTGCATATGGCATTGAATAGCAGTAGAACTTTTGCATATGTGATTGTTCACATGTTTCTACTCCACAGAAGACTATTGTGACCCATATACAGGTGCTTCCATCAATTAGTATTTATACTTTAGTCCAAATATTCTGGGATCTGAGAGATCTGAGATTCGGTCAAACTCAAACTCAGATTTTTATAAATTGATCTGAAATGCAGCTTTCGCCAGGTTCAAAACTGCCTCTTACTAAATCTTAAGCTGTATAACCGATTCGTTAGTATTTAGAAAGACAAACTTGTATTTCAACACTAGGTCTCCGCTCTTATCTTTATCTTATAGTTTTAGTTTTGATATCTTTATGTGCAACACTTACCGCTCGTTCAAAATGGGTTGACTTTGATTTTGTGCACGGTACACGCTTAAATTCTGGTAGAAGCCTTGCTCGTTGGCGTTTCCATTGGCATTCAGATTCGGATTCAGATTGGGGTTATTGTGACTGCCATTTGGCTGACCTCCATTGTTATGCAAGCTGTGCGTGCTCCGTGACTTGGAATTGGCCAGCGCTGTGCAGGAGGTAGAGAGAAGTCAATTAGAGCCAAGAACAAAGAGCCAAGCACAACAACATAAATGAGAGTGGGTGGCGGTTGGACTGGATTTAGGACTAAGCAGACACACTTACATATGTTGCCAGATCCCGTGTGATGATGCAGGGCCGGCACCGATTTGCTATTGGAGGATAGGTGTGCAGCTAGGGGACTCATGACGTTGTTGCTGTTGCCCATGTTGTTGCTGTTGTGACTGTGTGTTTGGCTACTGTTGATGTTGCTATTGCTCAGATTTAGGTGCTGATTGAGACTGTGACTCGTATGGCTATTGGCAATGAGCGGGCCGCCGATGCCGCCCAATGACTTGGACGACTCGGCGCCGCCCATGCGACTCAAATCGCGCTCGGACATGCGGCGATTACCTGACGATCCATAACCAAATTAAGCAGGATAAGGAATTGGTGCAGTTGTCGATAGATGGCAAAGAGATAGATAGTATTTGTTTTAGTAAACATTGATGATTACAACTAACTAATTATATATGTGCATATCAGTGTGTGTAAGTGTGTGTGTGTGTGTTTGATTGTGCAAATGTAATCAATTTGAATGCATTATGCATACCAAATGTAATTAACATGTGCAAATACAAATACAAATACAAATACAACTAAAGCTACAAATACGGCTAAAAAAAATATAAATTACAATTGAAAACACGAGTGAATAATTTAAGCGTTTGCTCTCATGAAAAACCAGATTGTAAATAAATTGCATTAAGCTGAAATAATAATAAAAGAGTAACAACAACAACATCATGCATTTTGAATTTACATTTTAAAGCTAAAAACAATGCCGTTTCAACCGGGCTGAAATAAAAAGAAGCCTATAAATTGCTAAAGCTAACTGGATGCTTTAATTATATATAATCAAATTTTACTGATTTTATATAGAATATATAATAAAGCAGAATATAAAATATTATGTAATTAAATGTCAACTGTACTGCAAGCGCAGTTATCTAAGTTAAATTGAAGCTTCATTACACTTGCATATATCATTGATATGACATATTGTAATATATATATATATATATATATTTATATATATTGAACTGTTTTTCATAAGCTTTTATCCAATTAATGCAATGACTGCAATGAATAAATAACATATAATATATAGCATTATACGCATATATATACATATTTAATATATAATATTGTTATTATATATAGCATGAACTTATAATAAACAAGTTTCTATTAAAGTTGAATAAGTTGTAATGAAAGTTTTCAACTTAGAACGTTGTGTTCCCTGAGCAGAGCGTGTTTAAGCTTGTCAAATGGGAAGCATGAAATATTTCAATTCATAAGCCATGTTGAAAAATAAAAGAGTGCTCTCAATTACACAGATTAAAGCAGCTATATGATATAGAGCACAGACTCATTCAACTTCTACTAACATTCGTTCAAATGCCTGCAGCAAACAGCTTTAAAACTTTGAAGTGGACAGAGCTAATGTAACTGAAATACAGTACAAATACGCTACAGTTGCTGCTGTTTGAGAATATAGTCTTTATGCAGTCACGTATATATATAATATCAACAGCAAGCTCATAGCATAGTATTCCTAATTAGCTTTCTAGGCAATATAATATTGCATGGCATTCAAGTGACATATCTAAATAGATAATGCTGATTAACTGAACAAAGTAAACTAAACTAATCAATATATACAACAAATTAAAGTAGAACCTCGGTGCATTGCATTTGGATGGTCATCTGTGAGCGGCGCAGCAGAATGTCGTTGCACTTGGTCCCATTCGTTGCCCAGTTGCTGGCCTGGCAGCAGCAGCAGCAGCAGCATCTGCATCTGCATCAGCATTAGCATCGTTATCGCAAACGCAATCGGAGGAGGAACAGGAGTAGGAGCAGGATTCATCATCGAACTCCTCATCGCTGCAGCTGCAGTTGCAATCGTTGTTGCTGTTGCTACTGCCGCTGCTGGCTAGGGACAGCAGCAATTTAGCTGTGGAGGGCGGTGAAGCGGGTGGCTGTTGTTGGTGTTGATGTTGATGGAGACGATGGTGGTGGTGGTGGTGGTGTTGGCGGGCTTGTTGGTGTTGATGGCGTTGCTTTTGCCGCTGCTGCTTGTTGCGTTTCACTTGTCGCACGCTATGCGACTGACGATTGTTGCACATGACGCTGCGACGACAAGGCAGTTGACGTGCTAAAGCCAGAGACTGAGACTGCGACTGGGACTGTGACTGTGCAAGTGGCTCTTTGTCTGCCTCCCGGCAACTGTCATAACACTTGAAAGTAGCTGTCACGCTGCTGCTATTGTTGTTGCCTTGGCTGCTGTTGCTGCTAGTTGCTGCTGGCCGACAATGCGCGCAACAAGGACAATCACAGCTTAGCTGCGACTGTTGTTGCTGCTGTGGCTCCTGTGGCTGATGTGGCTTCTGCGGCAGCTCCACATTGTAATCCTTGCCGGCGCTGCCGAACAGACTCCATTCCTTCAATTGTTTGAGTATGTCGCCCTGTTCGTTCTGTGTAAGCCGACGACGTTCTGCGACGGCCAGCACCGATGTGGACTTGGATTTGGCTTTGCTGCTGGGCGCCAGACTATGCTGCGCATTCAAATAGGCCGCCATTTCGCGCACCTTGCCCTGACCAAGGGGTAATAGGAAACTGGGACTGAGATTCGTGTGGCTGGAAGCGCGACGTGTGCTGCATTTGGTATAATTGCTGCTGTTGCTGTTGCTGTTGCTGTTGGAAATTTCTGTGGTGCTTGGCTTAAGAGTTGTGCTGGCACAATATTGATTGCTTTTATGTACATTTTGTGTGCGGGAACAAGCACAGGAACTGTCACTAGGAACTTGAATGCTGACTAGAGGAACAGCAGCTGCAGCTGCAGCCGCAGTTGCAGTTGCTGTTGTGCTTGTTGTTGTTGTTGTTGTTGTGACAGAGAGCCCTGACCTTTTATGCGAACGCTGCGCATTGAGCTGACGTCGACATGGTGACTGCTGCAGCGGCTGTTGCTGTTGTCGTAGCAACGGCATGCGCTCTATGGACTCGCTGGAGGAACGCTGGCTATTAGAGCCAGATCCGCCGGAGCTGTAATCCACGGCAGAGCAATTGGTGGAACGCTTCGTGTTTAGCTCGCGTCTGATTTTCTGTATGAGTGGCATACGCTCGTTCGCCTGCTGTTCCGTGAGCAGCGACTCCGACGAGGAGTTGCTGATGGCGAAATTGCTAATGGCATCGTGTGTGTGGTACTTGCGATCGATGCTGGGCGCCACGGTCGGCGGTGGCTGTTCGAGATCAAAGCTAACGGTTTTCCGATAGCCAGCAACGGGATTACGCTTCACTGTGGAGGAGGCAGTTGCATGGCTGCCGCTGGCCAGGCAGGGACGCTGTTGCTGCTGCTGCTGGCGATCGAGTGTGGGTTGTTGTTGTTGCTCCTCTTCATCGTCTATGAAGGGTATGTCGCCCGAGTCGGCCATGGAGGCAATGCTCTCCTCGTTCAGCGGCTGATGGGCATCGCTGTAGCTGGCGAAATTGGTAAACGATTCTTGGGAATTCCGCACCTCAGGCTCCACTGGCGCCGGATCGTCCTGATACTCCTCGATGTATATCGAAGGCGGCGGTGTGCGGCGCAGCGGACGCATTGGACTGAAATGCGGCGCTGTTACAGGCGGCTGATAGTAGCCAGAAGCTGGTTCATTGGACAGATACAGACTGCTGGCCGAGCGGGCAATGGGTCGAGTGTCTCTGTACCGTGGATCGATGTGCAGCTGATGGCCCAACGCGCACAGCTCCTCCTGCAAACAGGAGGCGCTCAACCGACGCACAGGCGGCGAAACGGAGCGCATGCAGGCAAAGGATTCGCGACGACTACGATTGAGGCTATCATCCGAGATGGAGTTGTTGTAATAGCGCGCCTGTTGCTGGTACGAGGAATGACGACGTTGCTGTAGTGGAGTCTGCTGTTGATGCAGTTGCAAATAGTTGCTGCTGCTACTAATTGGATCTTTGGCAGCATGTTTAAAGAGCGAATGCGTAGGAATAGGGGGATTAGCTTACACAACAGTGCGAGAATCAAATACCCATTCTGAGTATGAGTGTATGTGTGTGTTTATATGTGTGTGTGTGTGTGTTTGTCGAGTGTGTACTTTTATTTATATTATATTATTTATTATGTTTGTTTAGCAGCTACCCAGCACCTTCTTTAGTGTAACTAATGTGTGTATGATTGGGTGTGTGTGTGTGTGTATTGATTGGGCGTGGCCTGAGCTCCAGTTACTCACCACGCTGTATAACGGGACTGGGCTGCTGCAGCAGCGTTGCCAAGCCGTGATAAATGGCGCCCTGCTTGGCCACCTCCAAGCTAACAACGGGACCCGTGCGCACCAAGTAGTCAGCAGCACTGGAGAAATAAAAAAAGTCAGTTAACAATAGCTGCTGGATTTTCCGCTTGATTTTCTTGTTAGACTTACCGTTCCTGTGTGATGCCAATTAGACTTTGGCCATCGACACGCAGCAGCTGATCGCCAGCTTGTAACCTGCCATCCGCATCTGCCGCACCGCCTGGCACGACGCTTTTAATATATATGCCCAGACGCTCCTGACCCGCACCCTTGGCGGCAACAATGGACAGGCCCATGCCATTGCTGTTCTTGTGCAACTTAATCAGCTGCACCTCTGGCTGCGGCAGCTTGTTCGACATGGCACTGGAGCTGCGTGCCTGCTTGACAAGTGAAAACATGGCAATTAGCAGTTGCTTTAGTATATTAAGGGGTTCCGCATTCTTCACTCACATTAAATTGATGCATGTACACTGTCCACAGTCCAATGGATGTGGGCTGAGCTGCCAGCCGGCACATGCCCTGCTGCTGTAGGGGATTTAAAAAGTCAACCAGGCCGGTGGGTATGCCACGCACCACGTCACAGCTGAAGCCATCGTCGGGCAGCAGCAGCGCCAAATGCAGTTCGGGCGATTCCTCCAGTCGCACTTCGCGGCCGTCGGCACGCGTTAGTTCATCGGCCACAGATTCGGCCATGCGTATAGCCGTATCCACCAGATTGCGTGGTATCTTCTCCTGCTGCAGCAGTGCTCCCATTTGCAAGGAGTTCAGCCGAAAGCAGGAGCAGGCCAATTGCTGTATCTCCTCCACAGAGGATTTGGGCGCCTGCAAAAACTGCGCGCACTGATTGATCTTAGCCAGATGACAGTCGGCAGCCAGCTCCAAGCCCTGTCGTTCAGCCCACAACTCCAACAGCTGCAAGCGCTCCGTCATCACCTTGCCCCACTCCCCGGTGCACAGGTGCGAATTGGCCACAATCTAAGAGAAGAGAGACAGAGGGAGATAAAACTCATTAATGTTGATTCCTTTGGAGCTTTCGAAGGCCTGTTGGTGGCTATTTGAAGTCCACCTGCCAGCGCCGCTCACCGTATTGAAACATATGACATTGATGTAGTGGAACAGCTGCGAGAACAGCTGAATGGTCAAGGCGGCATTCACACGACAGCGTCGCAGCAAAGCCATCGCCGAGCCAAGCACTGTTAGCACCAGACCCGCCGCGGAATCGTGATCAATCGTCTCCGAGAGAAATTGATTCAGAGTCTGCGACAGCTCCAAGCGAAAGCAATTGACCAGATTACGAAATGCCGTCTGCACCGCCTCGGCGAGCACCTCCTGTGCCTGTACGCTAAAGGCGCTAATGTGACGATCCGATTTGAGGAAATGCAAAAACTCCGAACTGTTTGCCATCCAAAAGGCGAGTATGCGCGGATCTGTGTACTGCTCTTGGACAACGCCATAGACCAGATTCGCCACATGATGCAAAAATATGGTTAACTTGTGGGCGCGCTCAGTGGGCTGCAGTTCGGGACGATAGTGGGTGGAGGCGCGATATCTGCAATGAGAAACAATCGATTCCGTGTTAATCAGCAGCTATGGATTATTGATTTAGATACCCTGCAGGAATGTGATTGCGTGTGTGGGGCATATTGTATTTATGTGAAGAACTGGCATTGTCAACCTATCAAATATAATCTGTGCTACAAGTGAACTCCATCTCTCCAAACACTCTCACGCCAAACACCAAGAGTTATATAGGAGAATGATTCCTAGCATTTATAGACAATACTTTGAGCTGTATACTTTGAAAGCCTGCTTCACTTTTACAAAACTATCTTCCAAATCTATCAATTTCACTATCTAGTCTAGTTTCTTTAGCCTATCTATTTCACATTTTTTTATTTTAGACACAAATAGCTTTAATATTTGGAACAGAGATTCTGAAAATCAAAAGCTGGAATGAAACTTTTGATTAAATTTTTGCATGAATTTCATATTTATTTCATGCGCTCTACTTTTTTGTGGCCTTGTCAAACGTCATGGAGCTGCCGCATGTGGTTGCCACAGCGTTGCAATTTCCTGTGTTTACAACCGAAGCGCTCCAACACCGCCCACTCAAACCAACGCCCAGACGCTAACATTAATATTAATAGCGCACAAATTGGGTCAGCAGCCGAGATAAATCATCATAATTGATAATGAATTGTTGATATTGCTTTCAATACAGTTGGGAATTTAGCAAATTGGACTCCCAGTGGCGCCGTTTGCTTGAAGTAGCCAAGCCAATTCATATAAAGGACGCACATTTGTCGGCCACAATATGGCTTTGTCTTGATTTTGGCCAAATAAAGAACAGCTAATGATAAAGTGCTTTGATTTTTGGTAGAGCATCGAATATTTCAAAATATCCTAATGAAGATAGCAACTTGCAGAATGATATACAGATATACAGAAGTAAGGGGTAGAGGGGTAGAGCTCTAGATGCTAGTTCCAATTGGATCATTATAGTTCTAGTTAGCATATTACTATCTTGTCAGCTTGCTAGGTTTCTAGAAGTACTACATTTAAAAGTCTACAATTGGTCTATATCAGTACAGTTATAATTATGACAGTCTAATCCCAGCTATAGCTAAAGCATGTCTTATTTAGCTTTAAATTGTATTAAATCTGATATAAAAGTTTCCCCTTTGTGTGATACGTTTTATATCGGTTCCAATCAGAGTTGAAATATCCTGGCAACCTGATGACTCATAAACTTATCAGCTTGCTAGCTTCAAGCAGCTACAAAATAATTTTTAATAAGCTGTCAATGATTTTCAATTTCCAATCATGCCAAAGCTAAAGCAAAATCCGCACGAATACCTAAATTTCAGTTAAGTAAAATTTATTCATATTTTATTTATTTATAAATATTTACTCATGTTTTTAGTACTGTTAAACATCAATTAAAGCTAGCACAGTTAGCAATTCAGCACAGAGAGCATACTAAGTGATCAGGCAAACATAAAGCAGTTATCAAGTCAAAGACTTACCTGGCACACAGGTAGAGTGAATAGACAGGCGCCAGCTTAAAGTGCGGCACATTCACATCCAATTCGCTGATGATGTGACGCAAAAAGTGCTCCTGGTGTGTTTCGGGGAATTCCAGAACAGCAGGCAAAATGGGCTCCTGACCCTGGGCATCTGCCGAGCCGCTGCCACCAGCGCCAGACAAATGGCCGCCAGCACCTGGTAACTTGGGCGATCTAAATGCGGTTGCCAGTCAAGTTAAGTTAAAAAAATTATAAATATTAGTAGAGCAGCGCATATTAAAGAGCCAGTTTATGCACAGAACAAATACAGCATATATATAAAAGAAAATTTAATATCAAACAAAATGAAAGCGCACACAAACGTAAAGAAAATGCACAGGTGATACATAAAGGTGTGTTTGTGGTGTGTGTGTGTTTTGAGTGAATGTTAAATTTGGCTGCTTTAAGAAATTTGAGCTGAGAAAGTTAAGTTTCTGTTAAGCTGCATCGAACACTTTGCTTACCTGTCCTGACTGTTGGAGCCATTCGATTTCATGCTCGATATCGATTTGATTTCATTCTCCAGATTACCTTCCAAACTTTGACCATCATAATTGCCAACTGTATTGGACAGCTGTTGCTGCTGATGCTGCTGCTGCTGCTCCTGGTTGCCATGCTTGCTGTCCACCACATCCCGGAGAGCGTGCGCGTCCGCTGAGTTGCCATGGTAGCCAGCGTTGGTTTGATTCAACTGCTGATGCTGCTCGTATTCGCTCTTCTGCGTCTGAATGAAGGTAAGAGAAATAGAGTTGCCGAGCTCCTATCTGTTTCTGGACTAGCTATTAGTTTGTTCAACAATTACTCACCGAACTAAGCGCTCCATCCTCATCGTTCCAGGACCCCGGAGATGTGGGCGAGCGACTATAAATTCCATTTGTTGTTTTCCGTTTGTTATTGTTGTGAATGTGTGTTGGTGTGTGAATGTATGTGTGTGGTGGTGTGTGTGGTGCATGACAGGATTAATGTTGTACACAAACAATAAAAACAAACATCACGAAACAAACAAAAAGCCACAAACGGTGCCAACATTAAAAATATGAAATTAAAAAAAAATAAAACAAAACACAAAATGAATTCGGATCAATATGAAATCACTTAAGAGACAAATTGAATCCAAAAGAGTTTCAGATAAATATATAGAAAATTTATAGAATTTAATTTATAATTTAATTTATAGAATTTAATTCAGGGTTTAATGATCCAGTTCATTTCTTCGTTTTTGAGTAATGATTAATACTCAAGAACATGTTCATGAACTGCAAATAACTTAGTCTAGGATCGGAAAATAGTGCAATAGAACTGGTTCAATAATATAGACTAGTTCAAGTTGAACTTAGTAGAACGTATAATCAGGAAAATCAGTTGTTAGCTGAGCATTGTGTGTCGTTCGAGAACAATGGAACTAGTTAGTTCACAGTTCACAACATAGGTCTAAGTTAAAACCTGGTTCAATCAACGATAATCTCAACGCCAGGTCTAAGACAGTGGTAAATCGTAGATTTTTACTTAAATTAAAGTTCTCTCAAGTTTTTTAAATGAAACTTCATGAAAGCCACAAAACACAACATTTTATAAAATGAAATTAGAAACACAGAAATTAAAGCGCAGCATTTATAGATAGAAGCTGTCAAATACACATGACACACTCACCTTTCGTAGAGGCAGGCCGAGTCCAGCTGGGATTGCGACAGGGCCAGATTATAGCGTCCATCTGTGGGCGAGTCCAGGAATCGGTAGGAGGCGACGCGACCGAACATGACAACCGAACCGTTCTGCAAAAGACAGATTAAGTGGCCATTAATTGTGCATATTGTAAACAGCGACACGCGTAATGATATGATTTAATTATGACACGCATTTCACTCATTTCAATTACATTATACGATTCACTGTGCATCGGCGGTGCTTAAGTACTTTAATTAAATTATTATAATTATTATATTAAATAAAGAAAGCAACAACATCAGCTATTTAATCGCAGCGTGTGCTCACGCATTGACAGTTTTCGTGGCACTGCAAAGATTCGAAAATTTCGATTTGAAAATATGTGGGGCGTTTCGAAATTTGGTGTCATCGATAGAGACGCCCCCCTTTTCAAGTGCCCTGCAAACTAATGAGGCATATGCGCACAGCCATTCAGCTTGCCAAGTTGAAAGTTTTTCTTTATTCGCGAGAAATCACTGAAAACATTTTCAAACTGTTTTTTCTTTTGTTCACAAATTCTACAGCAAAGTTATTCTTTATTGAAAAGCGAATTTTTGCTTTTGTTTTTGCATTTGTTTATTTTTTTTGTTTTGGCTTTTTGTGACATTTGTAAATTGTTGTTATTTGAGTTCATTGAACCGCAACTGAATCCAATTTGCCAATTCAATGCAAGACCACAAATTCATATTTAGATTAACAAAAGGCACGACTGTGCGATACTCTGTTTAAACTAGCTTAGACTATGCTAATGATTCGAGTGGCTTGAAGACCTTAATCACAATGACATTCCAACTGTAATATAAGAAGCTAAATATCTTCAGGCTATATTTGGAGTATGTCAGTTATCATATCATGATTGTATCACAGCTCTAAGACTGTAAACTGCAAGACAGTGACTTTCAAACTGTCACTTGAGAAATGTATATATTTTTACAATTTATGTTAAGGTTACTCAAATTTGTGGAAGATTCTCTCTCAAGAGAAATATGACTTTCATCACTTTATGGCAGCTCTATAACTATGGCTTTAAGCTGTATTACCTGTATACAAGGAAATCATCATTACACAAATTTATGGAAGAAATTATATTTAATCTTCCCAATTTTTTTACTCACAACTGTAGATTGTCGAAATTAATTTCAATCACCCGCCACTTTGATGGGCGTGACCCGTAATATATTTAAAGTAAAACTAAAATATATAATCAAAGTGTGGCTTTAATTGTCACAGTCTCGATATGCCTCTTTCGACACTGATCGAACAGCGTACAGAAAGTCTAAATGATAAATTTTATTCAGTGAATTACACAAAATTAATGTTTAGCTAACTTTTACAAACGCCGCCCGTCCCCGCTCCCCTCACAGATCTAAAAGTGTCTCTGGAGACAGTTTGACGTTATTGCCATACATTTGAGGCTTATCTCGAGTGGGTGAATGGGGGAACTGTAGCCTTCTCTGTCTCTGTCGCTGTCTCTGTCTCTATCTGTCGTTGGGGTATAGGGGCAACATCAAGTTTGCTTTTGTTTATTTGGCTTCGAATTCATCAAGCGGAAAGTCAGAAAAGTTTTTACATTGCGCACAATTTGTTGTTGTTTTTGTTTGTGCATTTGGCAAAATGCGTGAGAACGCAGAGTCAACTTAATTCGCCGCGTTGTTGTTATTCTGTTTGTATTTTGTGTGCGTCGAAAAGTTGTCAAAACAAAAGATAAATCAACTGCGCCCCAAACGCTTTTGATATGAGCATATAAAACGTGCGCTCGACTACGGCAAGCCAGAGAAACGGGCTACAACTGTTGGCAATGAACTTGAGCTGCCAATGTTTGTGCAGCACACAACCAACAAAAAATACCTACATACAGTTGGTTTCCCAATAAAAGTCCGCTGTTAGAGCTCAAGGGTTTGAATCATGAGCTGCAATACAGTTAAACTTTGTAAAAAAGCTGTAAAACTTTAGATGTGATATTTTTTGATTTGCTACGCCCTCAATAGAGGACAACAACAGTAACTTAATCGTTTCATTTTGAGTTTCTAACTGTAGTAAAACTGTAGAATATACAGCTTTTATTTATCAAATAAGAATTTTGAATAAATGTTAAGAAAAGTCTAAAAAGCTTTAATGGTGTATATATTGAATTACTCAAAGGAAATGGAAGGAAAGATTATTGAAATCTATTTGTCGAAAACTTAAAAATTAATCCAGGTGCTAAAAATTGCTCATTTCATCTCTAGAACTGTGAAACATTTTGTTTCATTTTTTTCATTTAATTTTCATTTAAAGTTTTGTAGGAACCATCCAGAAGCTCTATTTTCAAACAATTTTTTAAAAAAAATCTTCAAGTTCTTATTTCTGTCAACTGCGTACTTTAGCATTATATCCCTAAATCCATCGTCAGTTGCATTTTATTTCCGCAATTTATTTGTGTTTTTTCCTTTATAAAATATCTTCGCTTATTGCCAACTGTCTCACTGAGGCGGTTGCAACAACAAATTGCCGCAGTCCAGTGGACACTTGGCTTATTTCATTTGGATGAGAATCTCTTTCGTTTTGCTGCTCTGTCGTCATGACCATTAACATGGGCAGTAAAATGCGAAAAGCCTGTACGGAAAATGCTGTAAATGGGAAATGGAATTGCGTGACAAATGCCAACAGTAGCAGCAGCAGTAAGAGGAGCACGAATAACAGGATGCAGAAACAGGAAGAGCAGCAGCGGAAGAGCTCACAACAAAAGCTTCAACTTTCACTGGGTCAAGGTTGACAGCGCAAAGTAGAAAACTTTGTCGTTTTGCCAAAAAAGGCAAATAAAATGCGTATACGCCGCATATGACAAAGACAGAGAGAGACTGAGCAAAAGCATACTAATCGGAAATGTTTACAAATTAGTGCATGTCGGCATCTTAATTAGTTGTGACCTCACCGAAATTAGTTGCAAATCAAGATGAAAATGTCTACTCACATGCAATATGGTTGGCTGGCTAATGTGATGTCCGTTGACGAAGGTCAGCGCGTCCGTGTGCAGAGGCGTCACGGTGCAAACGCCCTCCAGCAGCGAGATGAGACAATGCCTTGGCTGTATGGAGGGTCCGAAGAGCTGCAGGCAATTGGTGTTCGCTGACCCAACCTCAACCGGATCGCTGCCCAGCTTAATGCGACGACCGCCATCGCCACTGTGCGTCACTTCGACCAGGACAGGTCCTTCGCGATCGCCGGACATGTGATTTGCGCCGTTGGCAGCGCCCAATGGCTTTTTCTTGCGTCGACGCGGCTGCGAGTCTGCCGGACGGCGACGCACATGAAACATGATAGAACCTGCAACGGAGAGCGAGAGAAACTCATTAAAAATGAATGCATATAAATATAGTATAAGTCTGCTAACTAGACTTTTGCTAGCTAGCGCACCAAAACACATTTGCAGCGTCAGTTTTTCAGCTTTTACAGCCTTTGTGCTGCAAGTCAAGCTCCAAAGCGCAGTTTAGACGAAACATATATTGGCACGACAGCTGCCGCAACACAAAGCGCATCAAGCTGTAGCAGTTGCAGCTGTGCAAATATGTTTAAAAACGAAAAAAAAAACACAATAGCATTAGAGCGCACAGTGGTGGCAGCGCACATAGGGGTAGGTATCACACACATATATATATATATATATATATATATATATGTATATATATATATATATATAGATATATATATATATATATATATATATATATATATGTATATATATATATAATAGAATAAAAGACAAATAAAGCGCACACGTTTTTGTTGATACACTATACACACTATTGCTGGCCAGCACGGTTCCATTGGCATATCCCACTTCTCATCTCATATAATCCGCACACAATTTGACTCATCGACTCAACCCAAAAATACTTATTCCCAAACATGAAATCAAATCAAATTCAGTCTTCATCAATTTCCGTTTTCATATATTACACTGAAAAAAAGTCTAGCCAAGCTGATATTTGCATGGCTCTCACAGACTAGCAGATGAAAACTTATGCTATTTTTTAAAATTCTACGAAAAAATTGAGCTTCCCGATTTATTAAAAAAAAAATACAAACTCAGATTTGATTCTCAAAAATTTTTTTATCTGAAAATCTCGTTTTTCAAGTACAACTTTCAAGCAAACTTTGTGTATAGTTTGGCGTCGTTCACTATTTTAATTTATGAGAGTACAAAAGTCAATCATTTTTGTTGAGTGTACATAGTGAAGACGTATTTTTTTTCATATTTCATATTTTAATTACGATTTTCATGCTCAGACGAATATGCAACGGGAATTTTAAATTATAAGGCTCGATATTTTCTCTGAGTGTACATAGACAATCCATATTTCTATGCTAATATTGCACAAATGTCGTGTTTATAGAATTTATATTCTTTCCTTTTTCTTAGTGTAGATATATAGTATCCATATGCGCTGCAGTCTCTGCGACTAGTGCAGCTGAACACAGGCGGCGGCGGCAGCTGCTTAATTTGGCTTTGTTGCTTGTTGTGGCATTGTTACACAGAATGTTAAACGAACCATGCAAAATATGTTGCCGGAGAGATGATGCCCTCTCGGCTGCGCCGGATGCATGTTAGCTTTCCATTTGGACGGAAGGCAACGTGAGCTGGAGAGACGATTGTCCAGACGGCCAAACAAGGAGAACAAGACTTGTCTATCGGGATTTGTGACTGAAATCTGGGGCATGGCGAGCCGGAAAAAACTTATTAAAAACAAAACCGAACTCAGCTCAGCTGCGAGTCGAGAGACGTGTGCCGAGCACGGGGCGTATGAGCAATGTGGAAATTGGATTTTGCCACTGGGGGCAAAAACAAAAAGAGGAATCGCAACGCTTTTTCATTTTACAAACAACAAAATATGAAACCAAAACAAAAGGCAAACACACAACGAAAACACTTACACTAACAACAACAACAGCAAATATTGTGTCATATACCTTTTCTGCGCCACCAAAAGAACCACATTGGATTTATATATTTGTCTATATCTGTTTGGAATATTGTTTTGCTATGTTCTCTGACTGTTGTTTTTATGCGGCAGCAGCAGCTGAGAAACTGATAAAGGTTTTTGCAATGAGAAACTCAACTTGAATTTTATCAAAAGAAAATAAAAAACATTAAAACATAAAAAAAGATTAAAAGAAACGTGGAACGATACTCAAATTATATATATTTAAAACATGCTACGAAAGTTTGTGAGGATACAAAATCAAATAAAGTCTACATCAATTTAAAAGCTTGTGCCATAGTTTGATTCGCTTGCGTTTTACCTTAGAATATTGCATGAAGTTTATTTTTAATGCCAAGGGCCAAGGCTAGCAAGCAGAAATAAATAAGGAACTATATTTATAAATATATATATATATATATATATATATTTATATATACACCATAAAAAGGATTCACTAGAAACACATTGAGCAAGTGCAGCAGAGGAGAAAACATAAACATTGAAAGCAACTTGGTCCAGAGCAAACCACAGGTAAACACTACAGTAATACATTACACCCACGCACACCTACACACACACAAATTATACACACTCCACATGTTGACAGTTAAAATTTCAATGCACAGCAAAGGACTTAAAATGCCTGCGAGCCATGAAATTGATTTGGTCAACGACGCGTCAGGATCATGTAGAACAGCTCACATGTGTATGTGGCAAGCGTAATGCTGTGTGTGTGTATGTGTGTCCCATGCTGTGGCTACGTGCATAAGTGCGCATAAATTGGCAACAGGGAGAAAAGCAGCGTTGAATTTATGCAATGCCAAAGCTGAAAACAATGCAAACCAACAAAAGGGTCGTGGCCAGGCGAGATGTGCAAATTGCATAACGAGTTGAGCGAGTAAAATGCCACGCCCCGCTGACGCCCCACCTCAGGTATGCCACAGTCATGTGGCCACACAATCCTTTCAGACCAATCTCTATCTCTTTCTCTCTGTGTGTGTGTATTTGGACTTCTGTGTGTGACCAAATGCCCGACGCTGGACAGATTCATTTTTATTAGCGCAACTTTCTATATAATGACCCATGTAATTTATGGGCTTTGTGTCAAGTAGAACGGGCTTTGCTGAACTATTAAACACCCTGTAATTAAGTTGGCGCTGCTTGTTGCATTACTCTTGGCTAACTATCACAAATATTATTTGTTATAATAACTCTACAGTTTACCTTACGCTTGCTTCAACAAGCTAAAGCCGATTCTTAGATACCCTACATTTTCAGAGCAAGTAAAAACTTATGATTATTCCTCTTTTATCTGTAACTCAGACAACGTTTAGATTTCTTCAGTTGGAAACAGCCAACATTTGTGGATATATCTAAAACATTGGTATACACTATAAATATATATTTACAATATATAGAATCACAATATACCCCTCTTTAATGAGCGAACAGCGCATAAGAAATGAAAAGGAATTTAATTAAATTTATTATATATTGAAATGTGTTTTCCGTTAGCTTCGCCTGTTGCCCACTTTAACTTGAGCTATTTGTTTAGCCTAATTGACTGGCATTGATATTCTGACCTATCAGGCGGGTAGCGGGTGGCAGGTGGCGTGTGTCGTGTGGCTGGTGGTGCTCGGCAGCAGCCTGTGCCCAGTAGTCAAATTACCCAAATTAGCCGTAAAACGTGGCAAAGTTTTTGACAAGAAACCAAAGCAAAGCGTCGAGCTACTTGAATCTGTTCTTCGGTCTGCTGAACGTTTAGCTATTTAATTTCCACATGCCACACACACACACACAGACACACACACGCACGCACATAGACAGCTGTTCAAGTAGTCTGAGCACTTAGCCACACGCACACACGCACACGCTCACGTTGCGCAAATTAAAACAATGAAAATTTAATGAGCCAAGTTTGTGAGTCGCCCAAAGGACTCTGTGCTTAAGCCTGGATGGCACATAAAGTCATTTCAAATGGCGACAACTTTGTAATAAACGCAATGTCCTGAGCGCAAGGATATGGCCAAGCATCTTGCTGAAAATATATATAAGTATGTATACATATATATTGGGCACTGTTTAATATTGCAGATTAGACAGAGCTTTTAGCAACTAGAGTTAATGAGAGCGAGTGTCCTTTAAGAGGGGAATATACAGCGCCAGGAGTGCATTAAAATCAGTTGGACTTCAACTGGGCTAATATAAGTCACATTTAGAAGTCTTTCAGCGTACAAAACTTCGATTCATGTTGAGTTAAACGCATTACATTCAAAACTGTCTAGGCGGAAATTTGTAAAACTTGTTGCGTTCTGAAAAGATAAGTTCTTAAAGTTTTTGAATTCATTGCGAGACTTTGAAATGAATGTGAAACATAATAATTCAAGACATGTTAAAAGCTTGAAATGTTCCAAATTAAATAAAAACATATTTAAAGATTAGTTAAGGAATACCTATAACACAGAGAGTGAGAAAGAGCGAGACAGATAGAAGGATTGGACGGCAGAGCTAGAGATAGTGAGAGAGAAAGCGATAGAGCGTTAATTTCTAAAATATTTAGAAAGAAATAGGCTAGATAGATAGATAGAGAATGAGAGAGAGTGAGAGATAAAGAATGAAAGAGGGAGAAAACGATAGCAAAGAGAAAGAGAGAGAGATAGGAATAAAGAGGTACACACATAAACAAGTAAGAAAGCTCTAGTCGGGGTGCCCGACTAGGAGATACCCTGATCCCAGTCCTTTGAGTTTTGAAATATTTTCCGTAGTTTGTATTGAGTATTAAAACAAAAAAAGAAAACAAATAAAAATCGACATTGCGAGACCAGGATTCGAACCCGGATTATTTTCGCAACGTGCACAAACTCTACCAATACCGCCACTTCATAACTAAAAAAAAAAATAAAACAATAAAAAACATTTCATCTCCACTGGCCTCGAACCCAGACCAAGCTGCACACGAGCGGCGCCTCTACCAACGCAGCCACTGCCCTCCTTTCGCGAATTGTTGCAAATTTGAATATAAGTAGCAGCTAATAATTCAGCACAATTCAATCGCAATTTCAATTCTTGGAATAGAAAAGAATACACGCATTTGAATGTATGTGTGCACACGCATAGGAAAAATGCGTGCGCGTGGCGCTGCTGACATGTGCTTTTGCAAATTGGCCAAACGTTTTGTTTAATAACTTCTGTTTTACTTAATGGATTTTAATGAAATTTTCAGCATATGATCTACATATCCTATTGGCTTGGTTGAGATGCAAACGCCTTCACATAATGGCCCTATTTCCAACTAAACTTAAATTCTAAGAATTTGGGGGAATTTGGAGCCGGTATCCAAAATCCAACAAAAATCAAAATTGCATAAAATATACATAAGACTAAATACAAAATTTGGATGCTCTAGCTCTTAAGACGTTCGAGATATAATTTATTTACTACATTTCAATAATGTTTTTATTCGATAACAATTAAATGCGAATAGTTATCGAATATTTGAAACAAACTTGACCTGCGCGTGCTATACACGGACCTACAAAAAAAAATTTCAAGTCTCTAGCTCTTATAGATGCTGAGATCCACGCGTTCACACATACGGACAGACGGACAGACGGACAGACGGACAGACAGACAGACGGACAGGGCTCAATCGACTCGGCTTGTCGTCCTGATCAAGAATATATATACTTTATGGGGTCTGCCACGCCTCCTTCTGCCTGTTACATACATTTGCACAAAACCATTATACCCTGATTTCCCATTTTTAATGGGATCAGGGTATAAAAAGCATATAAAGAACATAAGAGATAGCCGTAAGATGATGACAGATCTATCTAAGTGAGAGATATATCTGAAGAGTGATAACGAAGGAAATAGTTAAAAGAAAGTGAGAGAGAGCATGAGATATAGTTAAAATAAAATAAGAGATATGCGAGATGTGCTTGACATAGGCAATTCTTTTCAGAGTTATCTCGAAATCCATTGCATCAAACTTGAAGTTGTTATCTTTATAGCAGAGCCAAAGGCGCGTTTAACTTTCATTGAACAATTTTAAACTGCTGCTTCAAAAGTTTCATATTGCTTAAAAATGATTACTGAATAAAGCCCTGCTTTAATAAAACTAAAGATATGAAGAAACAAAATCAAATTATGCGCCCAGCTATTCGAATCATCGGACATGACCTTTCGAAATTCCCATCAAGAGACTTCCCACTCCTGCCAGCTGGATTGGCGACATTTTGGCCTTCTTTGAACGCACTTTTGTGCTGGGCCATTTGGGCAAGTGCCGCCCGAGGTTGCGAACAGCAATTTTTGCTAGACAATTTGGCAGCTGGCGCAACAGCAGCAGCAGAGACAATAAAAATATAATTGCCACACTCAGAGCCGGCCCAAAGGCAACAAATGCCACAGACTAAATGGGAAAGACGAAAGCGAAATATGATTTCATTTTGTGGCTGCAATTTTTGTCAGAATACGCAAATTGAATTTCGGAAGAGATTCGAAAGGACTTGACAACCCTGAACGAAATTGATGACTTCGACTGTCTAACGTAGTGTCCTTTGGTCAAAAAACAAAAAAAAAAAAAAAAAAAAAAAAACTAGAAAAAAAGAAACATTTGGAGTACTTTGTCTGTTGTCATAACTTACGAAATTTATTGATTTTTGTTCTGTCTGTTTGTTTTGGCCGGGCCATGGACGGGTTTATGCCACACCAACTCCCATATATGTTATGTACGGCGCAATATATAAGGAATTACATTTTATATGACTTCCCTTTTTTCCAGCTATACAGCTTTTGAAATTAATGACCCGCGCTTTGCTCCCCTGTTGCCCTTTTATTTTATTTTTTCCTTTAACGCTGAACACTATGAGCCATGACACGAGGCAGACAGTTATTATGTATAAAAAATAATAATACAACACAAAATAAATAAATGGAAACCATGTGAAAATTCAATTTGCTCGCAAAAAAAACTGCAAATAAAAGAAAAAACACCCAACTGCCAGAATGAAATTGAAATTAAAATCAAAATAAAGCTGTTGGCGTATAAAAGCGTAAAATTTCAATTTAATAAAGTGCACAGAAAAATGTTTACGGGTACTCAACAGCACTTTTCACATATACGCAGAATTCGCGAGAAAATTAAATATTTTTTATATATATATAAACATATTGTTTATTTATAACTATTTTCCTTTTGAAGTGGTTCGAGTAACTAACCGAACACTAAAGCCGGGCTAAGCCGCTGCTGCTGTTGCTGTTGCTGCTAGAAGCCGGTCGGCCACAACAATACGTTCACAAGTCGCAAGGATAACTGAGAACTGAGAACGGAGAACCGAACAGCGAGCACCGAGCACCGAGCACTGAGCATGGAGCACTCAGCACTGAACACTCCCAGCCAACAGCGCGTATGAGCAATGCGACCAAAGGCGCCCGTTGGCTGACTGGCTGAGTCACTTACTGACTGACTGACTGACTGACTGACTAACTGACTGACTATCTGACTAACTGACTCACTTACAAAATGTGAGTGCAAGCGACTCACTCAGTGAATGAATGAATGAATGAAATAACGAAACAAGTATCATTGAGGTCAACGAGCAGATACCCTATACAGTTGAGAGATAAACTTCTTGTTCGAGTCACAAATATTAAGAAAATTAACTTTTGTGCACATTCTTTGATAATATTGAATATGCTTAGGGTTAATAATACATATTTTATGTACAATTTATATTTTATAACTTAGGTTATTTCCACACATAAAATACAAAAATATTCACGAGCTCACAAACTAGCATGGTGCTCCCTTAATCCAATTACTTAGAAATAGACTACGTTTTATGCATTGCCCTTCGCTTTACAGCTACAGGGTATCAATATAAACAACGTATAACGCCAGCAAAGTAGAGAATATGTTGATGTCTGTGTGCGTGTGTGCGTGCGTCTTGCTGTCTGTGTGGGCGTGTGTGTGTACCCTAACATTTAGTTTACACTGCATTCAATGGGTGTGCTTGTTGTGTGTATACTGTGTGTGTGTGTTGTGGGTGTATCTGTATTTGTTGTGGGTTATCTTTGTGCTGCTTCGTCCGTGTGCTTAAGTGCGTTCGCCTCAAAGTTACTTATGTGTGCGTGTTACAGGACACACACACACACATAAACACGAAGCTGAGCCAAAAGCATACAGCCAGAGCAGCTAATTAAAAACTCTACGTCTAGACAACAGTTTAGGATTCCATTTGATACAACACCAAAAATTCTTTAGGATTTTACAACGTTTAGAAAAAGTGATCGATAGCATTATTATCAGTTACAGTTATCGAAAATAAATTTGAGCTGTAATATCAAAAATAGATATGATATTTAATTTAAGCTCAATAAATAATAGTTAAATGAGATATCGATTAAATTATCGATACGTTTTGCACTGTGTAAGCTAAATTCGCAGAATATATCACTTATTTATAGCTTTACTAATGTGATTCAATTAAATTATCACTTAATTTTTGCATAACCTGAGTTTGACTCAAAGTGAAGCGAACTTTTTTAATGGCATATTGAATGCGATCTCATTAAGCTATCGATTCTTGTTGAACTACTCGCAAGCGGCTATCAATTTGATGTATACTTAAACACCTACACACACTCACCCACCGAGCGCTCATCGTTTGAACACATAAATCAAACTGAGCAAATTATCATCATAATTTGACGCTCTCTCAAACAATCGATATGCCCAACCCTAAAAGAGCAGGTCGAAAGAACAAAGCGAATCCAGCAAGAATAGAGCTGTCAGTTTGTAGCGTGCACACACACACACACACACACACACACATACCTTGTCTGTGTGTGTACATAAAAGTTGAGATATGTATACTTGGAGCTACTTTTGGGCTAACGAGCATCGCTCAGTTAAGGTCTTTATTGTTGGCCAAGTTGCACTTGAAAGCTGAATTCGTTTCGTTTCGTCTTGTTTTTTGGTACGCAGGAACATTAAAAGTGTGCAATAAATTCTGCTCAGCCATAAACTTGAAAAGCCATCACATTTTATTGCTATCATCATCAGCCATCAAATAGCTGAGCAGAGAGTAACGGTAAATGCATTCTATAGACGACCCCCTATGAAGTAAGGGAGTCTTTCTCCAAAAATTCCGAACGCTAATCGAAGAGATCAGCGAACGGGGGTAATGTTATATCATTGGTGTCAGCAGCAATGTCCTCACTAGACGTTCATTGAACATTTCTGCTCCCCAAGACAAGGAAGGACGATTGCTGCCAAATGCCAGCGACCTTAAACGTCGGCAGCGAGAACCATTTGTGAATTGTAAGCGCAAAAAAGCACGCAAATTCATGCGCAAATTGTTGCCTATTTCGAAGCGTCAAGTCCGATCTGTGCACTGATCGAGAAATTGCATTATCACAAGGATCATAAAAACCAGTTTCCGCACAGCTTTGGGTGCAAAGCTTGTTTTTCGCTTGCAGGGTAGTTCACAGTCTACCCCATGCAAAAACAACCCCTAGGCCAAGCGCTCGTTGTGTGTATAGATCGATCATCTACATCTACAGCACATTTGAATTAATAGACATAATTCCTGCCACGCACAACTCATAAGCAAATAGCCAATTTCCTAGCAAAATAAATAAATGTGTTTCAGCACAAGCGAAATATGTGAGTATATCAAATATATATATATATATATATATATCTGTATAGCTATATATGTTGCTTAGCTTGTGCCTCTGTCTGTCTGTCTATGGGAAATTGGCAAAGAGCCAAAAAGTAAAATTTGCATGATGTTAGCTCTGATTTGAGTGCAAACGTGTGTGTGTGTGTATGTGGGTGGGTTGGGCGCTTTTTCCGACACTTTTCTGTTACTATTGCTTGGACCAATTCCATTTCATGAGTCTGGCTCCCTGTCGTCAGCAATCAACTGACATATGACTGAAATTTGAACAGCAATTGAGCACAATTTTGATGCGAATTGTTGACAACAAAATTTTGTTACTGATAACAGATACATATTCCCTAGAGAACTGGAAGAGTTTAGGGAAATATATCACAAAACTAATAAACATCGGTTAAGCTGAAACGCCTTCAAAATCGCTATTTCCTTCGCCACTCAAATGTAGCTTAAAGGCATTAGTTCTTTTGGGCCTTGTTTCATTTGGAATGCATAATTAATAAGCTTAAACTGTTAACTCTACTCTAAGCATTTCAAGTTGGGAACCAGCCAGATGGTGGACAGTCAACTATAATTTAAAGCGGCTTATTAAGTCTTTCATGTCGAATCTAAACACTTCAATTGGAGATCAACTTTTGTGACTGGAATGAGCCTTAATCCGACCTTTTACTCATATAAAGTTAAGTGAATAACTACAATATTCATGCTCTAGCCTCAACTCAATTAAAGTGATTTAGACAAATATTTTGTGAGCAAGTTTTGTGAAGAGACTGAATAGAATTACTTCAAAATGAATCCTTTAGACATTATCTAAGCTGAAATGCTAGAATATAGCATGAATATTTTTCACTTTATTTTCAATTTGATTTGATTGACATTTATATATATATATCTTTTATATAAAATTATTTGCAATAGCCGCATAAATGGTCGTTTGTGTATTTATAGCCCTTCTACTTGACACATAAAAATAATAGTTTAAACTAGGAAAATGTGTTAAGCTTTCCATCTTTACAATTCAATTACTGTTCGAAAGTAAAGCGTCTCTTACAATTTTCTAATGACATTTATGCAGCCTTCTTTAAGGCTTAAAAGCCCTAAGGAGGACGTCAGGAACATGAACAATCTACGGAGATAAAAAATGAGAACAAGTTTTTAACCCAATTTGCTGTCTTCTGGCTTCGAAGCGCTATCAAATTCCTAAGCGCAACGCAGACAGCGAGGAGAGAGGTGAAATAAAAGCAGCAGCAGCCGTAGGAGCAACAGCAGGGCCAGCAGCAAAAGTTCAGTCTGTAGCACGACCTTCACAATGAACTGCATTAAATGAGACAACAGCAGAGAGGGAGAGATAAACACACACAGAGAGAGAGACAGAGATGGAGCGAAGCTTATGAGCTAGACAAGAGCAAAAAAATGTCGCCCAAAAGCTATTAAAATTATGCGCGTGCAACATTTTCGCAAGCATTACGGCAAAATATGAGCATGTGGGCGTGGCAGCATATTTATGAACAGCCACGTTTCTGTAGCGTTCGAGCTGTCGAGTTGTCATTAGCGAGCCAACTCCACAGAGCTTCATTAGACCTTATCAATTTACCACAATGTTTGATTTCTATTATTTGTGCCGATTTGTTTTTATTGCCGAGTAAATGTTTTCTGTCTTCTTTTTTCCGTCTAAATCGAAATGTCAGCAGGATATTTAGAGGCGTCATGGTCAGCTGGCCTGAATAATAGATGAAACAGTCCTCGTAAGCACAGGTCATTTGGTCGTAAGCAGAATGGCCATTCGAATGGCTTATCGACCATTTGTATTGATATATGTGCAAGGACATTGGGTTAAATTCTTTCTATTGTAATAATTGAATCAAGATTGTAATTAAATAATATTTTGTCAATTTACGTCATATCAATTATCATTAAAATGCTGGGAATAATTATATATGACAAGCAATTTGACAGCCCCCAATTAAAGTCAAATTTAAAGTCTGAAAAAGTTTTCATTTTTTTTTTGCTTTTTTGATATGCCCTACGCGAGCAATCAATTATGCAGCAGGTCCTTTGGCAAGAGTCAGAAATTCAGTTGGGTCTTTTTCAGTCAAAAATGCAACGAATAATCAAGTTTGCATAAAGTTTTGACATTTCACGTTTCGTAGCATACTTTTCTGATGCTCAAGCATTTCATTAGCAAAGGGAGACAAAAGTGTATGGGGGAAGCCAATGCGATTGGCTGACAGCTAAACAAACATTGAAAATTGCGTCCTCTTTGCTTTCCACTTACGTCTTATGCCCCAATCCATCATTTTGTTGTCCTTGTTGTTGTTGTTGTTGTTGCTGTACTTGAATATTAAATGACAGGCGTTGCTGGTGTTGGTGTTGTTGTTCTGTTGCAACAAGACGCCAAATGGGCAACATTAGCGCCAAGACGAACCGGACATGAAAACCGGCTGCGACTAAGCAGCAGTCGGAAACGTTTGACTACATAGCTTGCAACAAATTTGAAAAAACACTTTGCGACACACGAGTAAATTGAATTGAACCGTTTCTAATTTTGACAATTTTATGTATGCCTCAAGGAGACGCCAGGACGCACGTAAAGATGGCAGCAACACGGCCAGATACAACAACAACAACAACACAGGAACTGTTGCCGCCGCTAGGGCGCTGCTCGCGCTACCAACAACGATGCCGAATTCGAAAGCTATTTCAAATCTCGATTCCGCTTCTAAATTTTCCCGGGCTATGCTGCTGGCCCGAGCAGCGCTTACTTCATGACTGAAACCGAAAACCCAAGCCGAAAAACTGAACACAGACACAATACGCTGCTGACGCCGACTGCGACACCGGCAGCGACAGCAACAGCGAAGTGTGACTGTGACGGTGCCGAATGTGCATGGTGCAGATAACAGTGGGAGCTGTAAGCGGGTGGAGAGAATATAAGAGCAAGAGCAAAAGCAAGAGCGAGAGAGAGAGAGAAAAACACGACTAGGCAAACATCGATGCTTCGGCAGTCGAGCACTCGAATCGGGTGCCGCGGCATTGACGAGGACGTTGGCAACAACAGCAGCAACAACAAGTGGACCAAGTGGAGCGTCGTGTTCGAAAAAGTTCAAGTGACCACAATGCCAAGACTACCTTTGTTGTTGTTGTTGTAGTTGTTGTTATTGTTGTTGCTGACGAACAGGTGGCAGTGTTCGCAACCGAAAATTTAGACAGAAAAAATATTATTATCCTAAAAGGCACTCGCCACAGACAACATAGCCAAAGAAAGGAAGCGAGAGAGCTTTCCAGCAAGTGAGCGTAAAACGAATTAGCGAAAGGAAGCGCGTAATTAAGAATTTGCACAGTGGTTAAGCGGAAGGTAGCAAGAACAAAATCCAAATTAAAAGATAAATAATTAATTAACTACGATAAGTAAAAGATTTAAAAATTATTAAAATAAAGTCAGCAGCTTTATCATAACAGAGGTTTAGCATAATCTTTAATTTCAACTTATGAGCACATTAAACTGGCACACTGATCCCACTGTACGGAGCAACAACAAAATATAGGACGACGACCCAAATGTAAGTAAAGAAAAGAGAATAGAATGAGCTTAGGCGCTGCTACGACTTGTATTTACACTCTCACTTCCACTTATTATTCAAAGAACATTAAGAGAAAGCAAGAGAGTTGAGCACTAAGAGAGCGCGCCTCTATAACAACAACAACAATAAATAGCTAATAGCAATGACATCGAAATGCTGTTAGAATGCCAAAAACAAACCGTTGAAGTAGGCAGACAGACAGACAGTCAGACATGTAGAGCGAAAAGCGAAACATGAAGGCAAGGGAACTTGATGATAAATGGTAAATCGAATTTAAATACAAAATGAAGTAGATTTCGACATTTTCAATTGGGATCAATTGCAGTTATTGCTCAGCTTCACCAAGTGTAAACAATTTAGATTTCTTTTGTCTCTGCTATAAATAGTTACAATGAATATTCCACTAATGAACAACTGTTAAGATGTTTACTTAAAGTCTTTTGGGCAATTAAGTCCAAGCAAATAATAAAAATCTTTAAGGAAATTGTGACGTTTAAGTGGAATTTATTAGACACAGCCGATATGGGCCACGCAATTAAGACAATGTATCAAACAGAGACAACTCCAGGGACGCGGGCACTGTCCTCAAGCCAGACAGAGACGGAACTCATAAAATATTTACACAAATGTGGTCGCATTTACATTTTACACCTTTGAATTGCACACGTAGCTAACACAAGAAGAGTGCGAGCGACGTGGGCAATGAGTGTTAGTTGGGTGGGCATGAGTAGGTGTGTGTGCGAATGTATGTGCGTGTGTATGTGCTTGAATGTGTGGAACAGAGACAGCAGCAGTCGTAGCCGCTGGCGGCAACATGTGATTGTCAAGTGGCTGCTCTGCCAGCCTCAAAACTCCTTATTTGTTGCTGCTCATATATGTATGTGTATATGTGTGTCTGTGTATGGCTTTGTGGATGAGGCCAACATTTCCGGCCACAATTTTTTGTGTTGCCCTTATTTAAATGTCAGTTATGTTTGTCGTTTTACTTTATTGTTGCTCTTATTGTTGTTGTTGGCCGACATTGAATTCCCAGCGGCCTTATTATGTAGAAAGTTTGTCATTTATGTAAATGTGTGTGTGCGCGCCTCTATAATGTGTGTATGTGTGCAAGGAAGCCTACGTATGCTTTGTCAAATGTTCCCCCAATGTATACCGAGTTCTTGTGCATTGCATTCAAAAGTTCGTTTTGTTGCCTTCTTTCTTGACACATCCTTGCTCTGCTATCAGCTTGCGCAAAAACAACAAAGCTCTAAAGCACAATTCTTGTAATTAACAAAACCTTTAACATTAGCAACACAATCATTTAGTTTCGTTTAAGTTTTCCCAACTGTTTTTAGTACAATATTTCATTGCAGCTTTCGTAACAGTCACATTCAAAATGCGGTGTACTAAAAGCTTGTAGCATTGAGCTTTTGTATAGCTTGACGTGCTGTCCTAGGTTTGTGTATTGGCTAAGCTAATTTTTATAGCAAAAATCTTATGTTTTGTTAGAAAACTATAAATTGTTATTTGTTTTCTTAATATTTAAATTTATTTTTTGTAGACAGAAAGAGAACATTGAATGTGAAAGTCATTAAAATAATTTGTATACATTTTGATGTTTGTTAATTTCAATTGAATTTAAAACATTTTCTATATTTTGAATTTTTTTAATTTTTAGTTTTGTGTTAAGGAATTTGAACTTTAGAACGTGTTTTTATTTGCTTTGAGTTTAGTAAATTTGAGTTTTATCATTCACATTGAATATATATAGAATCAATATTTGTTGTACATTTTTAGGCACATTTCTATAAACATAAATTATAAAAATAATTTGAAAAAATGAGAAATATTCTTAAAATTGATTTCTATATTTCTTGTAACTTTTCAGCTAACATAAAACACTTACGCAGCCTGTCACACAGCTCATCTTTCATTTTGATGTATTTTTTATACAAATTCGATTTAATATTTTATGTTTCTATCTGGGTTTTTATGGTCGCAACACTTTGGAATGCCTGCAAAGGACTGAAACAAGCTGCAAACTTCTATGAAATATCGAAACATGAAACGAAGAAAAATAACAAAATAACAACAAAAGTTAAATATGCTTGTTGTTGTTGTTGTTGCCATTGTTGCTGTTGCTGTCAGTCAGTCAAGGAGCATAGTTATTGATAAAACAAATTCAATATTTATGAATGAGTTGTTACTCATTCCTGCTGCCACGCCCACAATGGAGCTTACACTCTCCCACTGGCAGGGGCTGACACACTAAGTGATTTCAAATGGCCCACAAACAGGCGAAAGGACTCACCGCGAGACGTCGGATGATTCATGAGTATTGATAAGGGGCACTCGTCGTCGTCAAGTATGTACTCTGTGCCATCGCTGTTGACCTGAAAGAGGAGGCAGATGGAAGATAAGCATGCATCATTTACATAGCTAAGTTTATCGAGTCTCAGCCAACCTGTACGAGGCAATAGTGCAAGGGATCTGCCTTCTCCAGGCCATATTTGCTGAGCATCTCCCTGACCACCGCCTGGGCGCAGTCGCGTATCGAGAGCAACAGCGTCTTGTAGGGCACATCCTGGCACAGACTCTCGCCGTAGATTTTCAGTGTGCCGCCCGTATCGGGTCCGCCGTCGCGTGAACGAAACTGTTGCAGCTTCTTCTCCAGCTTTTGCTGTCGTCGGCGTCGCATCACCGCCTCCGGATTTGAGATCGAGCGTGTGAACGACGTCTCCGGCAGCTCTGTATACAGCTTGCCGGCAACGGCATCTCCAGCCTCGCCATTGCCTGCGCCGCCTGCACTGCCGTTCATGTGTGCTGCTGCGCCGCCCGCGCTGCCAACGCCATTGCCCATGGCGCCAAGCTGGCTGCCATTGGAGAGCGGCACGTCAGAGCTGAGCTTGGCCAGTTTCTCTTTTTTCTTCTGCTCCTTCTTCTCACGCTTGGAAAGCTTCCGTTTGAAATTCAATTCCGACTGCTCGATGGGCTGCAAAGGGCAAAAAGTTCTTGTTGAAAAAAGCCAAGTTAAGCTTGCCAAACTGAACATATTGATCGATACTTGGGCATGTATCGATAACATTAATAATTTAGAATTTAGAAGACTAATGATGATATAGATCATTATTACCAAACTCCCTTTCCCTCTATCTATCTCTCTATGTTATGCATCTTGAATCTACTGCAAAATGCTCTACATGTGTTTATCGATTAACGTTCACGTCATCGATACAATGCTTACATTATCGATTGACAGCCCGACTGACGTGCATGCTGAATAACCTAGGCTATATATATCAAGTGCAATATACCCTAAACATATTGTCTTTTTTGGTCATTTATCGATTATTTGAATTGATAAACGATTATACATGCAGATTGGATGCTCTATGATAGAGAATGTAGGATGTTGTCCTTCAATCTCTTCTACTCTGTTATATACATTTGCTTATTTCAAAGATCTAGATATATTTTCAATAATTATCGATAACTTTGCTTATACAAAAAAACATTCTAGAAAAACTTGTATAATGGAATAGACTACAAATATCTGTTAGGTCCTTATAGCCAACTGCAATATACCCTGTTTAGACTAGGTTTAACAATTTAATTTATCGATTAATTAGCTTAAAAAAAAACTTGGTATCGCTAGGTGTTTCTAGAAAATTGGCAAATAATTTTATACAGATGCTAAGCTTTTTCTCTATTTGCTCCCGGCTGTTCATACCCTGTTTATACACTCTAATTTAGGCTAGATTTCATTAGTATTCTAAGCACCACACACCGTTGTCTTCTGATCGATATTCTTGAGCAGAAAGCGTCCTTCGCGATCGTCAATGTGCCAGTTGAGCTGAACGAGCAGCGGCTTCTCATCCGGATTCAGGCGACGCTCCTCGCCATTTGCGTGCACCTCGTAGAGGGCGTAATTGGGCACAGACAGCATGCGCATATCCGGACGAAATTTCTCGATTAACGTGTCTGCAAGAAGTTTTGCAATTAGTTTATCAACAATTGGAGCTGATCATCCGTGACTGACCTATGACATCTGTGACTGTGGCATCGCTGGCAACGCGAATGCATTTGGTGGCCACCTTTTGGCCGGCGTCTTGGAAATAGAAGCGCATAACGCCATGGAAGAGCAGATTCTGAAAGAGGCAAGCAATCAGATATATGACTAGATCTTTCAGCACGTAGGTGATTCTACTCACCTCATCCGGTTCGGAGAGCGCAAAGAGATCCAATCGATTGGCATTCCATTGCTGTATAACTGAACGTACTGCCTCGCGATCCAACATTTTCTTATCATGTGACATGCCGAGAGAGGGCGGGGGAGAGTACGGAGTGAGAGAGATGCAGAGAGGCAGCCAGAAAGAGAGAGCGAAACAGTTGGAGGGAGGTAATGTGGAATTTTTGGAATGTTTATCGTATTTGTGACTCCAGTGTGACGTCGTTTATTTGTTCCAGTGTTTCGTCAGCGCTAACTGTAAAACAGGAGAGAAAAGAATAAATTGGGTTAAAATTAGATTCTAGGTTTACAGCTTCCACGAGGCATCGTAAAATTCAAGTTGCATTCGCAGATGCATTGCACAACAAATGTTGCATTTCCTCTACACTAAAGTCAAAAGAGTGCGGCCAGTAACCGACTAGACAGATACCCTAGATGAGCAAATAACTAATGCCAAATTGGAAGACCTAGTCAAGGTGACCAGAAAATTGATGTTTGTTAGCTCTAGAATCTACACACTATATAGTCATCGAAGCTTATATTTGATAAGCTACACCTTCCACAACTCAAACTCTACTCCCAGCGTATGGCCGTAAATAACTACAACAGTTGGCATTGTTTAAGATTAAATACAGTTATTTTATGACTTATTAGCCATGTAAGTATTATTATATATACAGATATTTTACTGAGCTCATCGCATGGCACACGTTCTTTACATCATGTTGCCAATTATGTTTCTCCTCTATTGGCCGCTGACCCTAGACGTGGAAACAACTTCATCGGTGCAGAAAATGTTTCGAGTCTATTAAAAAAGTACAAATAACCTCAAGTTGTTTATAGGGCGTGGCCGTAACGTTCAAAGTTCAGATGTTCAAACAAAAAATGACTGAAGACAGAAAAAGCGGAACTATGCCTGAAACAATTCAGCGACACCCCTCGCCCTCAACACTGCCCCCTGCATACATATGTATAACTGCTTTATGTCTTGATATCTGTTGCTGTCGTTGGACTCTTCCTCTTCTACCGCTTCTTCTTGCCGTGGTTCTATATAGTTTAATAACCGTCAACGGTTCCGCTTCGCAGAATTCGTCGTTCGCTGCGCACAAAGAGTTAAGGGGAGCGAGGGTAACGGGTAACGGGTAACGGAAAAAAATAAAATAAATAAATGAAACCACATAGAACTATAAGACCCATAAGAAAACTTTGAAGTAAAGCAATTTCTGTACCAGACAACGGCGAGCGACGGCGAGGGTGAGGGTGAGGGCTAGGGCGAGGGCGTATTGTCTGTTGTTGCAATTGTTCTGACATTTTTTTAGTGTTGTTGCCCAGCAACTGACTTGCAGTAACCTGTCCCTATCCCTGTCCCTGTTCCTGCTCTAGCCGGCAAAGGAACTGCATTCGTGCGTAACCAGCAAGCGTTTTAATACCCTGTATTCAACTGAAACTGGACAAATGAAAGAGTAGAGCGCCGCAGAAGTATTAGGACTGAAGCTAAAACTATCCAAACGATCTATATCTTTTAATACCAATCGATGAGGAAGTCTGCAATTATATTAAGCAATATACAGGGTATACTCTAGTCGAACATAAGCATAAAAGCGAAATATGTTCACGCCTTCTAGTCTTTGTGTCTATCCTACGCATATAATATAAATTAAATATATACAGGGTATTATCAGTCCATCAGAAACATAAAGTTATAAATACATTACATTTCAAGCTCTTAGGGTTATATATTTTATAAACGAAGATCGTAGCAAATTATACAGCTATGTAAAGTTGCCGGCAGGGTATGTTCTAGTCGAAATCAGTCAACAAATATAAAAGTTATTTAAAAGAAGAAGAATGAATTGATCACGATTTCTTTAGTTACTCGAAAAGTTAATTTAGGAATAGATTTGAGTATTCTACAGGGTATATTCGAGTCGAGCAATTATACATGTTATTTCAGTGTTTTGGTATTTCATTTAGTTTTGACCTTTTTGACTAAATTTCAATGCCTGTTGTTTGGCTAGTCGCAAAGTCGGTTGCCGAGCAGTTTCTAGGGGTTGCTTAGGGGTTGGAATTTTCAACAAAATTTATGCAGTTTACTTCGAAATATTTCATGATTTCTAAATTTTCTACACAAATGCCAATGCTATTTTACAGTTATTTACTCCAAAATTATGGTGCAATTGCCAACAGAAAAAGGCAAAACTCAAAGTGCTTTTTTTGTAATTATTTAGACAGTTTTACAACATTATTAAAAAGACATAAAAGTGTCAGTTCACACAGAGCAGAGTCAACAAACAATCTACTTGTTGTTTGTTGTTGTTGCCTGTGCACTGAGCCTAAAGATTGCGAGAATTGATAAAAATGGCAGTAAGCCGGAAAACCGCAAAGGCAACAATAAAAACAAGGCAAAAGAGCGGAAAGAAGTTAAAGAAAAACTGTCGCCAGATAAATGGAGAGACAAACAGATAAATATATACTATATATACATATATTTGTATAATATAAAAGTACCGCAAGTCAAGAAACAAAGGCCTCGTTCAATGAGGTGAATGCACCAAGATTTCCTTTCCTTTTGGGTGCGACAAAAGCTTGGCCAAAAAGTGTCTTGGGCAAGTTAAAATAGCTAAACATTATCACTATGTATATTTATTTGAATACCAATTACTCTACCAATTACTCTATTTATATACAGTAGGGAGCAAAAGTGTTTCCATAGTTGACACTTTCAACTTTGTGAGTCGATAACTTCCAAAGGAATGAAGCAAATCAAAAAAACTTTTTTTTCCAATAATATGTATTTAATTCTTAACAAATTGCCGTATATAACAAAAACAAAAAATAATTAGTAAAATATTCAAACAAAGAAAACTGAAACAAAACGCATGTGTACAATTTTGCACCTTCAGTGAAAAAAATTTAATATGATTCTAAATCAATATTTTGTCCACAGGCCCTTATTAGCTATTACATTTTTTATTCAGTTTGGCATACTCTCGACCAACTTTTCTATGGTTTCCTTTGGAACTCGGTTCCACTTTAGTTCTACACGCTTCCAAAGATCGTCTAGGTTGGATGGCATTGATTGATATTGCCCGAGCCGTCGCTTCACGATTGACCACAGGTTCTCAATCGGATTAAGTTCGGGACTTTGAGCTGGCCACTCCATCAGCATAAAATCTTGGTTTTGTAACCATTCGCGGACAATTTTGGCAGTGTGCTTTGGATCCCCATCTTGTTGAAAAATTATTTCCTTTACGGGATATGCACACTTGTCCAGAAAATTGGGTAGACAGGTTTTCAAAATATTGAGATAGTCTTCTTTTAACATTATACCATCAATTTTATGCAATGGTCCAATGAGGCACCAAGTAAAGCATCCCCATTGCCTCCTCCATGCTTAACGGTTTGCTTCACAAGGTGTTTTTGAAGCTTGTCCCCGGGCCTGTACCAATAGTATTGCTTGCCATCTGATTGAAAATGGTTGAACTTGGATTCATCCGACCAGATGACACGTTTCCAATCATCTACAGTCCAATTCTTATGTTCCCGGGCGAATTTCTATCGAGCCTTGACATTCTTCTCGGACAGAGCTGGTTTATTTTTTTTCACACTTGCCACATATCCAACCTTAGCTAGTGCTCTTCTAGCCACCCGCCGAATCACGTCTTTTCCTATGTCCATAGATGCCTTCTTCGGTGTTAGGAGCTTATCAGTCTGGCGTCAGAGTCCTTTAAGAGTCGTTTGCGGCCTTTAATAGTGTTTTTGGATGCACCGTTGCGTCTTTTCTGGACTTCGGACAACGCTGAATGAAAAATATTAAGCTGATCTGAAGTACTACGAGTCGAATAGCCACTTTCAGTTAGGCTAATAATACTATTTTCGACATCTGACGAACGCTTCTTCATTTTTTCGCGGTACTTTGTAGACTAATTGCTAAAATTAACAAATCTACTTCAAATAATAAGAAACACGTGGATTTCTGGATCATAAAAGTGTAGAATGCATAAATAAAACATATAAGGGTAAAACTGCATGTGTATTGCCGATAAGAGAATTAAGAAATCAAACCAAAGTAAGAATATCGGAAGGTGCAAAATTGTACACATGCGTTTTGTTTCAGTTTTCTTTGTTTGAATATTTTACTAATTATTTTTTGTTTTTGTTATATACGGCAATTTGTTAAGAATTAAATACATATTATTGGAAAAAAAAGTTTTTTTGATTTGCTTCATTCCTTTGGAAGTTATCGACTCACAAAGTTGAAAGTGTCAACTATGGAAACACTTTTGCTCCCTACTGTATATCATATTTAGTCTATAGTAAATATCCTCAATATCTGTGCTTAAGCCAGCTTCAAGCAGCAACAGTGCTGTCTTTAGGTTTCGTTCCACAATTAAACACCTAATTGAGTTAGTTATCTTTGAGTGGCGCCTAATCAAAAGTCAATAACAAACAACATAGTAAGTCAAGTACAACCACAACAACAATAACGGGTCCCATCTGCCATCGGCCAGTGACAGAGCGCAAAATGTTTGCCTCCATCAGCAGGTTTAAAGCTCTCGGCCAAGTACCGCAAAATGTGATTGGGTGACAAAAACAACAATAACAACAGCAATGGCAGCAACATTTTTAGCCATGACACAAACCTTTCTGCTCTTCCCTTTCTCTATTGCTTTGATGGGTTTTCTTTGGCTTCTTCTTTTACTCGGCCGCCGAGGCTTAAAACTAGCCTGTGATACTTTTTCACTTAGCCGACCAATAAGAGTCAGCAGAAAACCGAAAAGTATTCAACTGATCGACTAGCATATACTCTTTACACCGATAAAGGAGAGCTTACAAGAGCAGAGTGAACTAGATGTCGACCTAAAGTTAGAGTAGAAATAAGAGAGAAGTAGAGTAAAAAGGCAAGAGTCAGCTAGAGATATAATAAGATTACACATCACAAAAGAAGAAATAGATAACCAAAAATACAGTTAAAGAAAATAAAGATATTGAGATATCAAGAGGGATCAAGAGAGGAAAGTGAATATAAACAGACAGATAAACAGATAAACAGAAGCATGAACATATAACTAGAGGGCAAGCGAGATAGAGAGAGAGAGGAAGAGAGAGAGAGATAGTAGGGTAAAGAGAGGGAAAGAAGCAGGAAGGAAATATACCAATATCAAATCAAAATCAATAGAGAGGAATAGGCAATGGAACAGAGAGAGAGAGAGAGAGAGAGAGAGAAAAAGAGAGAGATAGAGAGAGAGAGAGACT